TGGATTGTTATTGTTACATATTAATACGATCATTGCCATACCACTCATGTTGTGTATACCGTGAGGGGGGCATACATTTGTTTGTTGGTTTCCCTTTAAACTGTGGTGCAATTATATTGGTGGGGAGGGGAGCTAATCAAGGTGTGAAGTTCTATTTGTTCCAAAGAAGACCAAGATGCAGCCAAAGGAGGATGTTCTCTATATTATATTGGCATGACTGGATGGACTTCCCTGGCATGACTGGATGGACTTCCCTGGCATGACTGGATGGAAAGAAGACCCTGGCATGACTGGGTGGACGACCCTGGCGTGACTGAATGCATAGACGACCGGGGTAACTGGATGGAAAGAAGACCCTGGCATGACTGGGTTGACGACCCTGGCGTGACTGGATGTTCGACCCTGATGTGGCTGGATGGATAGACGACCCTAGCATGACTGGATGCATAGATGACCCTGGCATGACTGGATGGATGGAAGACCCTGGTTGGACTGAATGGACGACCCTGGCGTGACTGGATGGAAAGAAGACCCTGGAGTGACTGGATGGACGACTATGGCGTGACTGGATGGATGGACGACCCTGGCATGACTGGATGGAAAGAAGACCCTGGAGTGACTGGATGGACGACTGTGGCCTGACTGACTGGATGGATGGACGACCCTGACGTGACTGGATGGAAAGAACACCCTGGAGTGACTGGATGGGTGGACGACCCTGGTGCGACTGGATGGACGACCCTGGCGTGACTGGATGGAAAGAAGACCCTGGAGTGACTGGATGGACGGCTATGGCGTGACTGCATGGATGGACGACCCTGGCGTGACTGGATGGAAAGAAGACCCTGGAGTGACTGGGTGGACAACTATGGCGTGACTGGATGGATGGACGACCCCGACGTGACTGGATGGAAAGAACACCCTGGAGTGACTGGATGGATGGACGACCCTGGCGTGACTGGATGGAAAGAACACCCTGGCGTGACTGGATGGATAGACAACCCTGACATGACTGGATGGATGGACGACCCTGGAGTGACTGGATGGATGGACGACCCTGGAATGACTGGATGGACGACCCTGACGTGACTGGATGGAAAGAAGACCCTAGAGTGACTGGATGGTTGGACGACCCTGGTGCGACTGAATGGACGACTTGGTGTGACTGGATGGATTGACGACCCTGGTGCGACTGAATGGATGACCCTGGCGTGACTGGATGGAAAGAAGACCCTGGAGTGACTGGATGGACGGCTATGGCGTGACTGCATGGATGGACGACCCTGGCGTGACTGGATGGAAAGAAGACCCTGGAGTGACTGGGTGGACAACCATGGCGTGACTGGATGGATGGACGACCCTGGCATGACTGGATGGACGACCCTGGCGTGACTGAATGCATAGACGACCGGGGTAACTGGATGGAAAGGAGACCCTGGCATGACTGGGTTGACGACCCTGGCGTGACTGGATGTTCGTCCCTGATGTGGCTGGATGGATAGACGACCCTAGCATGACTGGATGCATAGATGACCCTGGCATGACTGGATGGATGGAAGACCCTGGTTGGACTGAATGGACGACCCTGGCGTGACTGGATGGAAAGAAGACCCTGGAGTGACTGGATGGACGACTATGGCGTGACTGGATGGATGGACGACCCTGGCATGACTGGATGGAAAGAACACCCTGGAGTGACTGGATGGATGGACGACACTGGTGCGACTGGATGGACGACCCTGGCGTGACTGGATGGATGGACGACCCTGGTGCGACTGAATGGATGACCCTGGCTTGACTGGATGGAAAGAAGACCCTGGAGTGACTGGACGGACGGCTATAGCGTGACTGCATGGATGGACGACCCTGGCGTGACTGGATGGAAAGAAGACCCTGGAGTGACTGGGTGGACAACTATGGCGTGACTGGATGGATGGACGACCCTGACGTGACTGGATGGAAAGAACACCCTGGAGTGACTGGATGGATGGACGACCCTGGCGTGACTGGATGGAAAGAACACCCTGGAGTGACTGGATGGATGGACGACCCTGGAATGACTGGATGGACGACCCTGACGTGACTGGATGGAAAGAAGACCCTAGAGTGACTGGATGGTTGGACGACCCTGGTGCGACTGAATGGACGACCCTGGCGTGACTTGATGGACGACCCTGGCGTGACTGGATGGAAAGAAGACCCTGGAGTGACTGGATGGATAGACAACCCTGACATGACTGGATCGATGGACGACCCTGGAGTGACTGGATGGATGGACGACCCTGACGTGACTGGATGGAAAGAAGACCCTGGAGTGACTGGATGGATGGATGACCCTGACATGACTGGATGGAAAGAAGACCCTGGAGTGACTGGACGGACGGCTATAGCGTGACTGCATGGATGGACGACCCTGGCGTGACTGGATGGAAAGAAGACCCTGGAGTGACTGGGTGGACAACTATGGCGTGACTGGATGGATGGACGACCCTGACGTGACTGGATGGAAAGAACACCCTGGAGTGACTGGATGGATGGACGACCCTGGCGTGACTGGATGGAAAGAACACCCTGGAGTGACTGGATGGATGGACGACCCTGGAATGACTGGATGGACGACCCTGACGTGACTGGATGGAAAGAAGACCCTAGAGTGACTGGATGGTTGGACGACCCTGGTGCGACTGAATGGACGACCCTGGCGTGACTGGATGGACGACCCTGGCGTGACTGGATGGAAAGAAGACCCTGGAGTGACTGGATGGATAGACAACCCTGACATGACTGGATCGATGGACGACTCTGGAGTGACTGGATGGATGGACGACCCTGACGTGACTGGATGGAAAGAAGACCCTGGAGTGACTGGATGGATGGATGACCCTGACATGACTGGATGGAAAGAAGACCCTGGAGTGACTGGATGGACGACTATGGCGTGACTGGATGGATGGACGACCCTGACATGACTGGATGGATTGACGACCCTGGTGTGACTGGCTGGATAGACAACCCTGGCGTGACTGGATGGATGGACGACCCTGATGTGACTGGATGAATGGACGACCCTGGAGTGACTGGATGGGTGGACGACCCTGATGTGAGTGGATGGACGACCCTGACGTGACTGGATGGAAAGAACACCCTTGTGTGACTGGATGGATGGACGACCCAGGCGTGACTGGATGGTTGGACGACCCTTGCGTGACTGGATGGTTGGACGACTCTGGCATGACTGGATGCAAAGAAGACCCTACTGGATGGAAAGAAGACCCCGACATGACTGGATGTTGATGAAAGACCCTGGTGTAACTGGATGGAAGGAAGACCCTGACATGACTGGATGGAAAGAAGACCCTACTGGATGGAAAGAAGACCCCAACATGACTGGATGGAAAGAAGACCCTGGTGTGACAGGATGGATGGAAGACCCTGAGTTGATGGAAAGAAGACCCTGGTGTGACTGGATGGATGGAAAGAAGACCCTGGTGTGACTGGATGGATGGAAAGGAGACCCCGACGTGACTGGATGGAAAGAAGACCCTGGTGTGATTGGACGGAAAGAAGACCCTACTGGATGCATTGAAGACCCCGACGTGACAAGATGGAAAGAATACCCTGACATGACTGGATGGAAAGAAGACCCTGGTGTGACTGGATGGAAAGAAGACCCTGGCATGACTGGATGGATGGACGACCCTGGCATGACTGGATGGATGGAAGACCCTGGTTGGACTGAATGGATTGACGACGCTGGTTTTGACTGGATGGACAGCCCTGGCATGACTGGATGGATGGATGACCCTGGCATGACTGGATGGATGGACGACCCTGGTGTGACTGGCTGGACGGACGACCCGGGTGTGACTGGATGGATGGACGACCCTGACGTGATTGGATGGAAAGAACACCCTGGTGCGACTGAATGGACGACCCTGGCGTGACTGGATGGATGGACGACCCTGGCGTGACTGGATGGATGGACAACCCTGACGTGACTGGATGGATAGGCGACCCTGGCGTGACTGGATGGATGGATGACCCTGGTGTGACTGGATGGACCACCAACCCTGGTGTGACTGGATGGACAGATGACCCTGGTGTGACTGGATGGATGGACGACCCTGGTGACTGGATGGTTGGACGACCCTGGCGTGACCTGGATGGAAAGAAGACCCCGATGTGACTGGATGGAAAGAAGACTCGACGTGACTGGATGGATGGACGACCCTGGCCGGACTGGATAGATTGACGACCCTGGATGGATGACCCTGGCATGACTGGATGGATGGTCGACCCTGGTGTGACTGGATGGACGGACGACCCTGGTGTGACTGGATGGACGGACGACCCTGGTGTGACTGGATGGACGACCCTGGTGACTGGATGGAAAAACCTGGCGTGACTGGATGGAAAGAAGACCCCGTCATGACTTGAAGGAAAGAAGACCATACTGGATGGATGGAAGATCCTGGTGTGACTGGATGGATGGTAGACCCCCGACATGACTGGATGCAAAGAAGACCCTGGTGTGATTGGACGTAACAAGATGGAGAAAAGGCCCAGGTGTGACTTGATGGAAAGAAGACCCCGACGTGACTGGATGGAAAGAAGACCCAACCGTGACTGGACGGAAAGAAGACCCTACTGGATGGATTGAAGACCCCGACATGACAAGATGGAAAGAAGACCCTACTGGATGGAAAGAAGACCCTGACATGACTGGATGGATGGAAGACCCTGGTGTGACTGGATGGATGGAAGACCCTGAGTTGATGGAAAGAAGACCCTGGTGTGACTGGATGGATAGAAAGAAGACCCCGATGTGACTGGACGGAAAGAAGACCCCAACATGACTGGATGCAAAGAAGACCCTGGCGTGACTGAATGGATGGAAGACCCTGGTGTGAATGGATGGAAAGAAGACCCTGGTGTGATTGGATGGAAAGAAGACCCTGGTGTGACTGGATTGGAAAGAAGACCCTGGCGTGACTGAATGGATGGAAGACCCCGGCGTGACTGGATGGAAAGAAGACCCTGGCGTGACTGAATGGATGGAAGACCCTGGAGTGACTGAATGGATGGAAGACCCTGGCATGACTGAATGGATGGAAGACCCTGGCATGACTGAATGGATGGAAGACCCTGGCTTGACTGGATGGATGGAAGACCCCGACATGACTGGATGGAAAGAAGACCCTGGCTTGACTGAATGGATGGAAGACCCTTGCGTGAATGGATGGAAAGAAGACCCTGGTGTGAATGGATGGAAAGAAGACCCTGGTATGATTGGATGGAAAGAAGACCCTGGTGTGACTGGATTGAAAGAAGACCCTGGTGTGACTGATTGGAAAGAAGACCCTGGCGTGACTGAATGGATGGAAGACCCCGGCGTGACTGGATGGAAAGAAGTTGGAGTGATTGAATGGATGGAAGACCCTGGCGTGACTGAATGGATGGAAGACCCTGGCGTGACTGCATTGAAAGAAGACCCTGGTGTGACTGATTGGAAAGAAGACCCTGGCGTGACTGAATGGATGGAAGACCCCGGCGGGACTGGATGGAAAGAAGACCCTGGAGTGACTGAATGGATGGAAGACCCTGGTGTGACTGAATGGATGGAAGACCCTGGCGTGACTGGATGGATGGAAGACCCCGACATGACTGGATGGAAAGAAGACCCTGGCTTGACTGAATGGATGGAAGACCCTTGCGTGACTGAATGGATGGAAGACCCTGGTGTGAATGGATGAAAAGAAGACCCTGGTATGATTGGATGGAAAGAAGACCCTGGTGTGACTGGATTGAAAGAAGACCCTGGTGTGACTGATTGGAAAGAAGACCCTGGCGTGACTGAATGGATGAAAGACCCCGGCGTGACTGGATGGAAAGAAGACGCAGAAGTGACTGGATGGAAAGAAAACCATACTGGATGGATGGAAGACCCTGGCGCAACGTGATGGTTGACCCCGACGTGACTGGACGGATGGATTGAAGACCCCGAGATGACAAGATGGAAAGAAGACCCCGACGTGACTGGACGGAAAGAATCGACGTGGCCGGATTGCAAGAAGACCCCGGCGTGACCAGATGGCAAGAAGACCCCGACATGACTGGATGGAAAGAAGACCCTACTGGATGGATGGAAGACCCTGGTGTGACTGGATGGATGGAAGACCCTGGTGTGACTGGATGGATGGAAGACCCTGCTGGACCTACCTTCCCGGGAGAAGCATGAGATGTTGGACCTTCCTGGGAGCACCGTGAGACTATGGACCTTCCATGGGGAGTGAGATGGTGGACCATCTTGCGCTGCTGTGGAAGGTCCAGATTCTCACAGCGCCCTGGGAAGGTCCATCTCAAGCTGTTCCAAGGAAGGTCCATAAGATGGATGACCTGGAGCAGCAGTATGGTGGACCTACCCTAATGCAGAGTGGACCTGGGGCAGCGTGAGATGTTGGACCTTCCCTGGATCAGCGTGAGATGGTGGACCTTCCCCGGATCAGGGTGAAATGGTGGACCTTCCCTGGATCAGCGCGAGATGGTGGACCTTCCCCGGAGAGGCGTGAGTTGGTGGACCTGGATCAGCGCGAGATGGTGGACCTTCCCTGGATCAGCGTGGGATGGTGGACCTTCCCTGGATCAGTGTAAGATGGTGGACCTGGATTGGCGTGAGATGGTGGTCCTTCCCTGGTTCAGAGCAAGATGGTGGACCTCCCCTGGAGAGGCGTGAGATGGTGGACCTTACCTGGATTAGCGTGAGATGGTGGATCTTCCCTGGATCAGCGTAAGATGGTGGACCTGGATTAGCGTGAGATGGTGGACTGCAGGGCGAGATGGTGGACCTTCCCTGGATCGGCGTGAGATGGTGGACCTTTCCCGGAGAGGCTTGAGACCTGGTGGACCTTCCCCTGAGAGGCTTGTCACCTGGTGGACCTTCCCCGGATCAGCTCGAGATGGTGGACCTTCCCCGGAGAGGTGTGTGTTGGTGGACCTTCCCCAGACAGCCCGAGATGGTGGACCTTCCCCGGATCAGCGCAAGATGGAGGACCTTCCCCAGATCAGCGCGAGATGGTGAACCTTCCCCGGAGAGGTGTGTGATGGTGGACCTTCCCCGGATACCCGGGATGGTGGACCTTCCCCGGATAGCCCGAGATGGTGGACCTTCCCCGGATCAGCGCGAGATGGACCTTCCCCGGATCAGCGCGAGATGGACCTTCCCCGGATCAGCGCGAGATGGTGGACTTTCCCCGGAGAGGCGTGAGTTGGTGGACCTGGATCAGCGATGGTTGACCTTCCCCGGAGAGGCGTGAGATGGTGGACTTTGCCTGGATCAGCGTGGGATGGTGGACCTTCCCTGGATCAGTGTAAGATGGTGGACCTGGATTGGCATGAGATGGTGGTCCTTCCCTGGTTCAGAGCGAGATGATGGACCTCCCCTGGATCAGCGTGAGATGGTGGACCTGGATCAGCGTGAGATGGTGGACCTTACCTGGATTAGCGTGAGATGGTGGACTGCAGGGCGAGATGGACCTTCCCTGGATCAGCGTGAGATGGACTTCCCTGGAGAGGCTTGAGACCTGGTGGACCTTCCCCTGAGAGGCTTGAGACCTGGTGGACCTTCCCCGGAGAGGCTTGTCACCTGGTGGACCTTCCCCGGATCAGCGCGAGATGGTGGACCTTCCCCGGATCAGCGCGAGATGGTGGACCTTCCCCGGATCAGCGCGAGATGGTGGACCTTCCCCAGTAAGGCGTGAGATGGTGTACCTTCCCTGGATCAGTGCGAGATGTGGACCTTGATCAGCGTGAGAAGATGGACCTAGCTCAGCGTGCGATGGTGGACTTTCCCTGGATCAGTGTAAGATGGTGGACCTTCCCTGGTGAGGCGTGAGATGGACCTTCCCTGGATCAGAGCGAGATGATGGACCTCCCCTGGATCAGCGTGAGATGATGGACCTCCCCTGGATCAGCGTGAGATGATGGACCTCCCCTGGATCAGCGTGAGATGGTGGACTTTCCTGGATCAGCGTGAGATGGTGGACCTTCCCCGGAGAGGCTTGAGATGGTGGACCTTCCCTGGAGAGGCTTGAGATGTGGACCTTCCCCGGAGAGGCGTGAGACCTGGTGGACCTTGGTCGGTGTGAGATGCTGGACCTGGACCTTCCCGGGAGCTGCGTGAGATGCTGGACCTTTCCCCTGAGCAACAAGAGATGGTGGCCCTTTCCCCTGAGCAACAAGAGATGGTGGACCTTCCCCGGCGGAGCTTAAGATGGTGGAGCTTCCCTGGATCAGTGTGAGATGGTGGACCTTCCTGGGAGCAGCGTGAGATGGTGGACCTTCCTGGGAGCAGCGTGAGATGGTGGACCTTCCCGGGAGCAGCGTGAGATGGTGGACTTTCCTGGATCAGCGTGAGATGGTGGACCTTCCCCGGAGAGGCTTGAGATGGTGGACCTTCCCTGGAGAGGCTTGAGATGTGGACCTTCCCCGGAGAGGCGTGAGACCTGGTGGACCTTGGTCGGTGTGAGATGCTGGACCTGGACCTGGACCTGGACCTTCCCAGGAGCTGCGTGAGATGCTGGACCTTTCCCCTGAGCAACAAGAGATGGTGGACCTTCCCCGGCGGAGCTTAAGATGGTGGAGCTTCCCTGGATCAGTGTGAGATGGTGGACCTTCCTGGGAGCAGCGTGAGATGGTGGACCTTCCTGGGAGCAGCGTGAGATGGTGGACCTTCCTGGGAGCAGCGTGAGATGGTGGACCTTCCTGGGAGCAGCGTGAGATGGTGGACCTTCCTGAGAGCAGCGTGAGATGGACCTTCCCTGGATCAGAGCGAGATGATGGACCTGGATCAGCGTGAGATGGTGGACCTGGATTAGCATGAGATGGTGGTCCTTCCCTGGTTCAGAGCGAGATGATGGACCTCCCCTGGATCAGCGTGAGATGGTGGACCTGGATCAGCGTGAGATGGTGGACCTTACCTGGATTAGCGTGAGATGGTGGACTGCAGGGCGAGATGGACCTTCCCTGGATCAGCGTGAGATGGACTTCCCTGGAGAGGCTTGAGACCTGGTGGACCTTCCCCTGAGAGGCTTGAGACCTGGTGGACCTTCCCCGGAGAGGCTTGTCACCTGGTGGACCTTCCCCGGATCAGCGCGAGATGGTGGACCTTCCCCGGATCAGCGCGAGATGGTGGACCTTCCCCGGATCAGCGCGAGATGGTGGACCTTCCCCAGTAAGGCGTGAGATGGTGTACCTTCCCTGGATCAGTGCGAGATGTGGACCTTGATCAGCGTGAGAAGATGGACCTAGCTCAGCGTGCGATGGTGGACTTTCCCTGGATCAGTGTAAGATGGTGGACCTTCCCTGGTGAGGCGTGAGATGGACCTTCCCTGGATCAGAGCGAGATGATGGACCTCCCCTGGATCAGCGTGAGATGATGGACCTCCCCTGGATCAGCGTGAGATGATGGACCTCCCCTGGATCAGCGTGAGATGGTGGACTTTCCTGGATCAGCGTGAGATGGTGGACCTTCCCCGGAGAGGCTTGAGATGGTGGACCTTCCCTGGAGAGGCTTGAGATGTGGACCTTCCCCGGAGAGGCGTGAGACCTGGTGGACCTTGGTCGGTGTGAGATGCTGGACCTGGACCTTCCCGGGAGCTGCGTGAGATGCTGGACCTTTCCCCTGAGCAACAAGAGATGGTGGCCCTTTCCCCTGAGCAACAAGAGATGGTGGACCTTCCCCGGCGGAGCTTAAGATGGTGGAGCTTCCCTGGATCAGTGTGAGATGGTGGACCTTCCTGGGAGCAGCGTGAGATGGTGGACCTTCCTGGGAGCAGCGTGAGATGGTGGACCTTCCCGGGAGCAGCGTGAGATGGTGGACTTTCCTGGATCAGCGTGAGATGGTGGACCTTCCCCGGAGAGGCTTGAGATGGTGGACCTTCCCTGGAGAGGCTTGAGATGTGGACCTTCCCCGGAGAGGCGTGAGACCTGGTGGACCTTGGTCGGTGTGAGATGCTGGACCTGGACCTGGACCTGGACCTTCCCAGGAGCTGCGTGAGATGCTGGACCTTTCCCCTGAGCAACAAGAGATGGTGGACCTTCCCCGGCGGAGCTTAAGATGGTGGAGCTTCCCTGGATCAGTGTGAGATGGTGGACCTTCCTGGGAGCAGCGTGAGATGGTGGACCTTCCTGGGAGCAGCGTGAGATGGTGGACCTTCCTGGGAGCAGCGTGAGATGGTGGACCTTCCTGGGAGCAGCGTGAGATGGTGGACCTTCCTGAGAGCAGCGTGAGATGGACCTTCCCTGGATCAGAGCGAGATGATGGACCTGGATCAGCGTGAGATGGTGGACCTGGATTAGCATGAGATGATGGACCTCCCCTGGATCAGCGTGAGATGATGGACCTCCCCTGGATCAGCGTGAGATGGTGGACTTTCCTGGATCAGCGTGAGATGGTGGACCTGGATTAGCATGAGATGGGCGACCTTCCCCGGAGGCTTGAAATGGTGGACCTTCCCCGGAGAGGCTTGAGATCATGGACCTTCCTTGGAGAGGCTTGAGATGTGGACCTTCCCCGGAGAGGCGTGAGACCTGGTGGACCTTGGTCGGTGTGAGATTGTGGACCTGGATCAGAGTGAGATGCTGGACCTGGACCTGGACCTTCCCGGGAGCTGCGTGAGATGGTGGACCTTTCCCCTGAGCAACAAGAGATGGTGGCCCTTTCCCCTGAGCAACAAGAGATGGTGGACCTTCCCCGGCGGAGCTTAAGATGGTGGAGCTTCCCTGGATCAGCGTGAGATGGTGGACCTTCCCGGGAGCAGCGTGAGATGGTGGACCTTCCTGGGAGCAGCGTGAGATGGTGGACCTTCCTGGGAGCAGCGTGAGATGGTGGACCTTCCTGGGAGCAGCGTGAGATGGTGGACCTTCCCGGGAGCAGCGTGAGATGGTGGACCTTCCTGGGAGCAGCGTGAGATGGTGGACCTTCCTGGGAGCAGCGTGAGATGGTGGACCTTCCCGGGAGCAGCGTGAGATGGTGGATCCTGGGAGCAGCAAGAGATGGTGGAGCTTCCCTTGAGCAGAGTGAGATGGTGGACCTGGAGCAGCGTGAGATGGTGGACCTGGAGCAGTGTGAGATGGACCTCCCCGAAGTAGCGGAGATGGTGGACCTGGATCGGCCTGAGATGGTGGACCTTCCCTGGAGCTGAAGTGTGAGATGGTGGAAGTGGAGCAGAGCAAGACAGTGGACCTGAAACGGCATGTGATGTGGACCTTCCCAGAAGCGCATCCACCATAAAGATGGTGGATACAAGGCATCATGAGCTCGACCGTTGGTCTTCGTACAGCATGTACTCAGACTGGCACCTGTGGGAGCCTTGATATTTTAACAATCCAAGTATACACTGAGATGATATCGCAGCATGAGGTGTAGACCTTTTACGGAGATGGTGACCCACAAGCTTACTTACTTACTTACTTTGGAGATTTAACGTGCGCTTTCCGACTGATGCGTATTTCGCACACGGATGAGTTGAGGGTTTAAGGCATCGGGGACAAGCACCAGATGCAAATAGCAAGACCAATGCTGCATATAGCAAGACCAATGCTGCATGATCTAGGTGGGGATATGAAGCTGCACAAGATGTAATCCTTCCCATGTAGTTGATGTGTCATGTCAAATGGACTCTCCCTTGAATCAGTGTTAGATGGTTGGGGAAAGAAGACTTTACTCATTGTCATAAATTGTCCAATTATGTACATTTTTTTTAGTTTTCTCTAATTGTTAAATACGTCTTCATGCTACGTGTGAATGAAAAATATATTCTTAATTTATGTGCTAAATTTACTGTCTTTGTAATTTAGAACTGAATGAGCATAGTGAAAACCCTCACCTATTTCTGAATGAAATCTAAATGTAAAATACATGAATTATTTTATTGTCATGTTAAGTTATGTGATTATGTTTTGACGTAGAGGGGATAATAAATTATTTTTTGATATTCTTTGCTATGTTCTTATTACTGTCGTGGTTGTTTGTAGACACAGTGGTTGATACTGTGAGCAGTGTCCAGTGCTGTCTGGGTACGATAACATTGCAAACAACTGACCACCTACCCGCCTAATACGCCAAATAACAGACTATTGGGGTTTCGAATAGGTCATCAGCAGCCCATGATTGCTGTAAGAGACGACTAAAGGAATCGGGTGGTCAGGCTATCTGACTTGTTGCAGGGTTTCATTGTTTGTCCCCATGTTCAAACCTTATCTGTGACCATATGGCTCTGAAACTTCCCATATCTAGAGTTGATGTCATGAGTTATCAACTTATGTAGTGTACGACCTTGAGAGTGAACTTGACCTTCAACATCAGGGGCAATTATTCCAAAGGGCTACCCAGCATATTTACCAAATGTGATGTCCCTTGGTGGAAAGTAATGAAACTGTAGCATAAGCTTCTCATTGAAAGTAGTTGTCCATAAAGAAGAATTAAAAACAAGTAGATGCACAAAAATATCTACAGGAAAAGGCCAACATACTTTACAAATGACCTTCACTGGGCTTTAAAAAATATTTGAGTTTGGCACTAGTTATTCCACAACACCGGTCTCCAGCAATTTAAGAGCATGATCAAAACAATGTCAAAATTAATATTTGCACAAATGAGGAATGTGTTTTATCCCAGAATTAACTAAACAATGTAAATTTCATCACCTTTGTTTAGTATCTTAATTTTCACATTGTTTCAAAATCTGCAAGTGTGAATATTATTTCAGAACATTGTTACAATGCATAACACATACATTTTCTTGACACAAATTTTAAACTCAACTATACTACCAACAAAAGGTAAGGGAACTAATGAAATGTTAGTGAAGTTGTAATGATGATAAAATTAGTGTCTGTAAAATTAATTTCAGGGCTGTAGATCAATATCTGGTGTGTCCACTGTTGAGCGATACATGCAGGACAGTTTCCCCTGACAACTTGATGGTATACTGTTGATTAACTTCTGTGTGGTTGCTCTTGGTTTTGCCCGCCATTCCTCCTGAAGAGCTACCCAAAGTTCGGCCACGTTGGTCAGTGATGAGTCTCTCGTCTACACTCACCACCCGTCAGTTAAATGTCCATATACCTTCCGGGTGATGACTTTGGGTGTGTGTGGTCTGGCATCTCTGATCAAAATTACTGCCAATAATTCTAGCGAATAAAATGACAGGACGCCAAATTTCGTCAACATATATCGCTGGCCAGTCAAATAACAAAAACCAAATCAGTTGACCCGTTGTGTGATACTGACCGGCATCATGGCACTACCACCCCCATACCAATCATGGCCAAAAATTGTTGCGCTGCCATACTGCCAGCTGTTAGGTCTCCCAACCCTTTCTGGCATCTGTGAAATGGAGGAAAAACCTTCGCCTAGCCCACCCCAATCGCCTGCATGTGGTAATCTGTTAGGGTCCTGTCCTTCACATAATGCCTTGCTTTCAGGCGGGCTGCATAGAACAGGTTTTTAATGATTGATGTGGAAATTCGACTTACTGTTATTGTACTGAATTATTTGCATACTGCAATTAATGTAATGAGATGATCTTGTTTAGGTGTCTCTTTTTTTAAGCCTGTGACACCCAGGTCTCGTTACAACTCCACCCATTTGAATGAACTTGTCCTCCCATCGTACCAACAATTTCCCATTTTGTCTGTTCAATGAGATACAGTCTCGGAGGCAAACAATATATCACATGACTAACCATGGGTGCGGGTAGTCCTGTGGGTATCCAGTCCTACTTAGGAACCACTCGAACCGAGTACCTTAGTTATCTGTCCCAGCCCTCATTTCTAGCTCTCACTTGGCCACCAAGGTAATCCCAAAGGTGCTTCTGTAATTTGATTATTCTGTTCTGACAAAATACCCTGACACATTCACTACAGTAACTTTTAATATTCAACATGTTGTTTGAGGGAAATTCTGTGGAACGTTTCTGATCCGACAAATGGAGATGTCATTTCCCCAAACAAGAGGTCAACTGTCATTTTGGATGATGTAACCACCTACAGGGGAATGGATGGGTTAAATCAAGTTGTGCTAATTGGTACACCTAAAACATGTTTGCCACACAAAGTTGTGATACGTTCAACTTGACATGTGGCACAGATTAAACAAGAAAGAAGTGAGCAAAGCTCACATACCCCCGTTATCCCTGCTGGTCAACAACAAATAGTAAATAGTTTGTTAATTAATGAAATATACCTGTTGCTTTAAGTCAGAGGAACTGCCCTTTCCTTTGTAACCCCATGAGGATGCATTGTTTCAAATGAACACATGTTTTTGCAAATATATTTCAATCTAGTGTGGGATAATGCTTAGCACAACATACATTCTTAATGTTTCCATGGAAACAGCAAAAATGAAAAAAAGTACAGAATCTTCAAACTAGCAAAAGGCACAAGTTCTCATTGTGGTAAATGTGTGTAGCAAGTTTGGTGAAGCTAGGGTGCATGGTTAAAAAGTTATGGGCCGTACAAAAGCACGGAGGGACGGAATGCTATATACCCCCGATTTACTTCGTAAACGGGGGTATAAAAATGAACAGCTGATTGGAAAAACAACACAACCAATGAGTTGATACACAATGACATTTATTTACATGCAATTACACGGTGGAACATTTGCTTTCAGAAATCAGGTTTCTTGGTCCATTAACTTGCAGCTCTAGAGATGATTTGTCTCTGAAAAAAGAAAATGCCAATTATAATAACAATTCGTTTCTTACTGAATAGTCTCAGAGATATAGCGCCACATAACAAATTCTGTACACAATAACTAAACACACAAGATGAGGCAAGCTCAACTAGCACTGTTCACATGGCATCATATTCACATACATTCTCCAAGAGTAAATACAAAAAATCTGAATTGTTATTTTATTACCGCCTACTGACCAGTTTTCACACAGAGAATTCATAAACCAGAAACAAAAGAACCTATGTATAGCTTAAAATTGATTAACCAGAGATGTTTGTTAAAACGCAAAGTTGTATTTCCAAATCTGCGACCCAGAAAAGCCTGACCTTGATAAAGTCTAACGTGTTGGTAGCATGCAGGCCCAGACTCCTCAGCACAACAATGGGTGTGAAGTCTACGCTGTATAGCTTCTGTAGCCCATCAATAGCACCCATCACTGGCACCACGTGGCGCTGTCTCTCCGTCTCGTAGTCATGGAGATGGGTTAATGATCCTGGAAGAAAATGGCATGGGAATCAGAGACCTTAATAACTAAATTTCACATCTTTAAGCAGTGGTAAACACACACGAGTGAAACAATGTTTGTCACACCCAGAGAAGAAAATGGGATCAAAACATTGCTACATTGTAAACAGGCACCCCATGTACATCATCTTGATTTATATTACATGTCTGTGAAGAGATCACTCGTTTAATAAACATACAGCTGTATTACACATTGTCAGGGTATGAAACTCCCCAAAATTTCAGCCAGACCACAGGACTGGCTAGCTGAAATACTTGCCAGCCCTGACCAAAACCTGCCTGCCCACTATAATCATATGTTTCTCAGGATAAGCTAACGGGATTTCGTTTTGGTTACATTTGATCATCCATCTTTACATGTGAATTAACGCTTATCATTGGGAAATATTTAAAATATTTTCACATATGAAATATAACCTGACCGTCGGGCAGGGGGATTTGAAAATCTGGCAGCCCGAGTTGAAATCAACCCGTCTCGGACGGTCGGGCAGGCAGGTATTTCGAACACTGACATTGTGTACCATTGTATGGTACATATTGTGTAATACCAAAGCGTGTGCTTACATACTAGGGAACTAGTTTCACTAACAAATACTGACAACTCTCACCATCCCTCGGCTTATTCAACAACATTGTGTGTGGAGATGATAGATCAGCTTATGCACACTCGATGAGCCCAGCAAACCTGTTGCTAGCCTGACGTCACATGGCATTGTTTTGCTGGTGGATCTTGCAACTTCATTCCGCAAATTACGTCCTACGACATTGTGACATGCTTGTAAACTTTGTGATGCAGGGCCCGATTCCACAAGGCGATTGTAGCACAACGACACTCATGAGCAAGTCTATGTGTATGGAATTTACGGATAACCTTAGCACTGCGATAGCTTATGTGAAACAGACCCCTGAAGATGGGCCATTGTATGGTATTAAATTAATATGCATCAACTTTTGACCTGTTTGGAGTATTATTCTGTTACACTCAATTGGATTATGCTGTGGATCGCGTAGATGTCTGCCTATTCACACAAGCCAGTGAAAACTCGCTCCCATGTAATACCAATGTTATGAAACTCGTGAATAGTTCTGGTATCTGACTTGCTTTTTCTCGTCAGATACTAGAACTATTCACTCGTTTCATAAAATTGGTATTACTTGGAAGCTCATTCAGTATTATATATATATATATGAGACATTCTTTCAAAACTGTTTGTGATGATGAGATGAAGAGACTTAAAACATTATTTAACTGAATCGACGACTGGTACAGCTATATCATGTACCTACCAAGATCACTACCGTTCTGTAGAGCTGCTGTCAGAATCCCTGACAGACATGCCACATCTCCAAAGCCCAGGTTGACCCCTTGACCTGCCAGCGGATGGAGACGATGGGCAGCATCACTGAAACAATGATTAGTGATCTCCATTCTGTAAGCACCACTACCGAAACAATGATTAGTGATCTCCATTCTGTAAGCACCACTACCGAAACAATGATTAGTGATCTCCATTCTGTAAGCACCACTACTGAAACAATGATTAGTGATCTCCATTCTGTAAGCACCACTACTGAAACAATGATTAGTGATCTCCATTCTGTAAGCACCACACCTGAAACAATGATTAGTGATCTCCATTCTGTAAGCACCACTGCCGAAACAATGATTAGTGATCATGTAAAATCTCAATGCACCATGTGAATCTTTGAGTCTCCACATTCACAAAAGGTCAATAAACATAAAAAAGTTCAAAGTAATCCTTGCAGTGTTGTGATGCAACAGTAGCTACTAATCTGAAGCCAGTGTCTGGAGAATTATGGTGTTCAGATTCAAATCTACTGAAAATTATGCTAATTGTCAAACTCCTTCTTGTTTCAGGTGCTGGAGGTGGGTGTTGCACATGTTAACACTATTTTGGAAGGAAGACTTTTAATTAGGGCTGGCTATTGATATAGATTACAGCAATCAATAATTGCTAACTAAATATTGATCACTTATCTTTTAATATCAGAGAAGCAATTTTAAGTAAATAGGCAAGAGAATAACAAAAGAAATCAACATATTTCACGCCACTGGTGATCAGTGACACGTTTATGCATGGATAACTTTGTGGACGTTTGAAATATAACAGTTGCTTTCCGTCTTCGACAATGGACATTATTGACAATGACAAGTCCGTTTTGGCAAATATAAACTTTATTTCATCACAATAGTTTATTTAAGTTATTATCAATGACAACAACATCATATTGATAATTGTTAATATTTTCTGATTATCAATTTTTTTAACCAGCTCTACTTTTATGTTTTGTTTGTTCTGACTTGTCAGTTTGTAAGGTATCGAATCTGGACCAGACAATCAAGTGATTGACATGATCATCGATCTACGCAATAGGGATACGATGACATGCATGAACCATGTCAGTGAGCATGACCCCCTGATCCTGTTAGTCGCTTCTTACAACAAGCATGGGTTGCTGAAGACCAATTCAAGGGTCGATTTCATGTAAATTGGTAACCGTCATCTTCTACACATCTAGCCATGCCTGCAGTGAACAGCTGACACAGTAATCTCCTTCTCTTCTCATGTTAATGTCTTTAATGTGTGAAATCGCAGACTGAATTTGATCCACTCTCCCGTACATCTAATTTTCATTATTCAGTGTATCGTATCTCCCTTCTGCTATGATAATAATCCAGGACCCATTCACCACCACAGCTTCCTCCTGTTGTTTGTTTGTTTGTTTGTTGTTTAATGCTGCACTCAGCAATATTCCAGCTATATGATGGTGGTCTGTAAATAATCGGGTCTGGACCAGACAATCCAGTGATAAGCATTGATCCACGCAATTGGGATACTTTAGGCGCCTTTTACGACAAGCACAGTTGCTTTTTACAGCAAGCATGGGTTGCTGAAGACCTATTCTACCCTGGATCTTCACGGGTCACTTCCTTCTGAACCAAATTTTAATTCCACATCTCTTATAAAAGCAGTCTAATCAAATTCCACTTAAAAAAAAGATGAAGATGGTGATGTTACTTCCAAACGAACGATGGTAGCAAATAGGTCCAGGTATTTACAAAATGGAGTGAGTGAGTGAGTGAGTAAGTATGGTTTTATGCTGTTTTTAACAATATCACGGCAGGAGACACCAGAAATGGCCTTCACACATTGTGCCCATGCAGTGAATCGAACCCGGGTCTTCGGCATGACAAGCAAACGCTTTAACCACAAGGCTACCCCACCCCTCCTTAACACAATAGAATGGAAGTTCAATACACTAGATAATCAAACATGACACAAACATCATGTCTAGTTAATCACACATCCAGTACATGACTAACATTCTCACCCTATGAGGGCGACTCTGGGTCGCACATACGCGGAGGAGTGTATCAGCTGCAGTGGGAAGGCGCCACGACTGCCAGGCTCTATGTCCACCACTGTAGGAGGCAGCTGGCGGACTGTGTCTGGCCCTACACAGCAATAATACATGACTTATGTAAAAAAACGTGTCGATTTTTCTGAAATACAGATAACCTGAGAACATTACTATATTACCTTTATAATAGTTAGCATTAGAATATCAGCCATACTTATAACACTACTTGTTGTTGAGTAAAGGACATTTTTAACACTGATTAACCAAGAAAAGTGTTTGCATTACATGCAAAAGCAGAAACAGCCCCATCTTCACCACAAAAAGTAGGTATTACCCCTTCACATAGCTTGAGTGAGTGAGTGAGTGAGTTGGGTTTAACGCCGCTTTTAACAGTATTCCAGTTATATCACGGCGTGTCAGCTTAATGTGGGAGGAAAGCCTGAAGCGATGCAGGTCTCAGCTTTTACTACTTCGGTGAAACCCATGAGCACGGGTATAGTGCTGACAAAACTAGAAACAGAATCGGGGCGAACGGGAAATCGAACCCACAATCATAGGTTTCTGGCGTGCCCAAGGGACGCAACTCTGCACAGCCAATCGCGGCACCTTAGACGACTGGGCCACCCGTGCCCCCTTACATAGCTTGAAAAAAACCCAGAGGAATGAGAGTATTTTTTAACATGCCTGGCAAGATGTTCCTGACAACAGAACTGAAGACTTCCAGAGCTTTGTCCGCCAAAACATTCTTCTCTCGATCATTCCACTGTAATAAGATGCAATGTATTATCCATCTGGGACCCGTATTTGTACCTTTTGTAACACAAGAAACTAATGTCTTGAAAAAATTCAGATTACCAGTTTCAGTTTCTATACTTTTGTACCAGGAAAAAGATGTCCACCCCAAGTCAGGTATGAATCCTCCCAGTTCCATTTGTAACATGACCGTGACATGATAACATTTGGTCTAATAGAGGAAATACGGTATATACCGGTAGCTAACCAAAAGGGCTGAGGTAAACGATGGGAAGCCTGTTGAGAATTGTGTGCTGGTTGAGATTTTGTTGTTGTTGTTTAACACCATACTCAGTAATACTCCAGCAATATGACAGCAGTCCGTAAATAATTTAGCCTGGATGAGACAATCGAGTGATTAACATCATGAGCATAATCTAGGCAATTGGGATACGGCAAGATGCAGTAAGCCAAGACAGAGCTTGGCCTCCTGATCCATTTATAACTGGTTATAATCGGTTGCTGGGGACCTACATTCTTAACTTGAATCTCCGTTGATGCTTGTTAAGAGATGGAGAATGTGTTGAGAGGAAGATATCCGGCTGCAGTTACATATCAGGTATAATAGTTTTCATCCACCCTTCACTGTTCTCTCAACACTAGGGGTGAAACGATACAACAAGGCCACGATAAAATATTATCATGATACACAGGTGATGATATGATACGTATCATGATGCACATATTTACGTCAAATCATGTGGTTTTGGTTTGGTTTGTTGTTTTACGCCGCACTTAGAAACATTCCAGCTATATGACGGCAGTGATTTACATCATAAACATTGATCCACGCAATTGGGATCGATGACATGCATCAACTAAGTCAGCGAGCTTGACCACCCGATCCCGTTAGTCGACTCTTACGACAAGCATAGTCACCTTTCACGGCAAGCATGGGTTGTGGAAGACCTATTCTACCCCGGATCTTCACGTGTCTCACGGCAAGCATGGGTTGCTGAAGACCTATTCTACCCCGGATCTTCACGTGTCTCACGGCAAGCATGGGTTGTGGAAGACCTATTCTACCCCGGATCTTCACGTGTCTCAGTGCAAGCATGGGTTGCGGAAGACCTATTCTACCCCGGATCTTCACGTGTCTCACTGCAAGCATGGGTTGCGGAAGACCTATTCTACCCCGGATCTTCACGTGTCTCACGGCAAGCATGGGCTGCGGAAGACCTATTCTACCCCGGATCTTCACGTGTCTCACTGCAAGCATGGGTTGCGGAAGACCTATTCTACCCCGGATCTTCACGTGTCTCACTGCAAGCATGGGTTGCGGAAGACCTATTCTACCCCGGATCTTCACGTGTCTCACTGCAAGCATGGGTTGCGGAAGACCTATTCTACCCCGGATCTTCACGTGTCTCACGGCAAGCATGGGCTGCGGAAGACCTATTCTACCCCGGATCTTCACGTGTCTCAAATCATGTGGAAACTTCTTGACTTTTAATATTTCAGAGCCGGTTGCCAAGGAAAAGCTGGATGTAGATACATGTTCGTAGTAGCTCTTTTTAGTAATGAATTTAAAAAGCTACTGGTAATTACAACACACTTTGCAATATTTGACTGACAAATACACTGGGATGGGGTCATTAAACGAGTAGTGAGTACTTTAATTTAGCAAGTGTATCATCTTGTATCGATACAGTGAAAAACATACTGTGTATCGTATCGTTACATGAACACTCATGATGCACCGGTACACCGATGTATCGTTTCACCCCTACTCAACACCCTATCCATCCATGGCTTCATTCCACAAAACTGCTGTAACTTCAACTGTTGTAATTCATGCAAGCAGACTTCAGGTCTCTAAAGCTACTAAGGTGATGCTGACATCAAATGAACTCACAAAAGCATCATTCACTGCATCAACAAAGCTGTCCTCTGGTATGCTCAGCAGATGCTTGGCCGCCTCGTGCGTTGTGGACCACACCAGGGAACTCAGATTGTCTCTCAGCTGCACAGTCATCCCATATTAATTCTACATTACTCTGTGCATATTGCATACTGTGTGAATGATCAGTGTACATAGTGAAATAGTCTCAAAATAGTGCTTGCCTTGAAAGTTACTAGCCACTTTCAAATTTCACAGCTTAAATATGCAACAGTTTATTCTCCAGAAATTTGAGTCAAATATTATGAAGGGGGGTTAATTCTGAGCTTGCAACCTCGATTCCTTACGGATATTAATTTGATGGTCGTATGGGCCTACAGAAACGGAAAACTTTTTTTATGTTGATCAACTAAGAGGTTTGCATAAAAAATCCCCATTAAAATTTCTGTTGTCAGTTGGGCTAGTTACATTTCAGAACCATTTGCCCCACCGAAAGTTTGCTAGCCATTGGCAAGTGGGCAGGTGGCTATTTCACACATTGATAATGATAGGTCAATGTTTACACTGAAAATACATTTAAATTGTAAAAACATATTTGTTACATATACCATTATTTATACTTTAGTCTTAAAATTGTACATACAGAACATAATGAAACAATCTTTTACAGGCCTGTGTACAAATAAATAGAATTAAATGTAAAAACATTAATTTAAACTGGCTCTTCATCAGATATGTGGAAGATTAATGGTATTCCATGAATTCAAAATTTTGGAAAAGAAATGAATTTGATTTTGATGTGTTAACATTTAACACTTTATTTGACAAACAAAGGATGACACATTCTGAACAAAACCCATTCAGGGTCATTAAACAATGCCACTTAATAAAAGCAACATACATGTAGCGAGCTATCTTTATGACTTAATTCAACAGTTCACGTGGCAATCACATTAGTACTTACTGGGAGCATTGCTATAGGACCAGTTGAAAGGAACCGTTGCCAAGCAACACAGTTATCAGGTGCCTGCAACAGTCATTTCAGAATGTAACAATTAGTCAATATTTAAAAAACCCGCCTCTAATATTAAATATCTATTGTTGAGCATGAACTTTTGTTTTTACAAGACTAAATTACAAAATGTTCCTTTCGAAATAGATTGAGAGAGTAGTATGTGAGAGACCTCAGCTAGTTTGAGAGTTGCCACGATAGCTTTCTGTTTATAGTCCCACGTGACCGTGTGGAAGTCGGCTGCTTGACGGACTGCGGACTGGTTACCATCAGCTCCGATCTGTTGGAAAACATACGATGTAGTCTCCCATGTCTGTTTGGTGATCATAACAACTTGTCTCCATACCACAGATAACACATGACATGAGATACGCAAATCAAAAACATCCGAAATATCTTAAGACCAATACACACAAAACCAAATGTTCATATACTACTCAAAAGATGTTAGGGATCACATGATTCTTTCACATTACTATAGTTAATCTGTCATGCCATGTAAAATAGCTACCGTACCAAATAACTCAACTGAACATGACTTGTATCAAGCCTCTCCCTCAGTCTTAGCAAAACAGGTCTCAAACTTGTTAACATTACCAGAATACCAACAAAAACATCTTGTGTAAATACTGTATACTGAAAATCTGGAATGTTTTGCGAGCAGGAAAGTACTGCGAAACTGTGACTGATACACAATCGCAATAGTTTCATGACACAGTTGTTTTTGCAGACCAATAACAAACAAAAGACAATGGAGGCATATTTCCTTTCATTCACTTCCAAACATTGTCAACCAGGCAGTAAATGATTAAATATATAATCCCTCACATCGGTGTGTTTCATTAATTACACACTGACACTCAGCGTCAATCGTCTCATCGGGACAATTCGCTGACCTGACACATCTCAAGTTGCTTACATAACACTGAGTAGTCAGACACACAACCACCTTTGTCAACTTCAACATGCATCTATAGTTTAAAAATCACTATCTGACACTGAGTAACCATTTCCTCACACCACTTCCTACTTTTAAGAAATAAGACAGGCAAACACAGTTTTGATCCTCGTTAATCCTTAATCGCAAAACTTTCCAGACTCTGTTAAGGCTATTGTTAGTCACTCGCAATAGATTCATGGCACAAAACCTTCCCACATTTACAGTATTAAGACTAATACTCACGAGTAATCGTGTCCGTATGACATCTCCACTTTCCAACTCCACGCCTACCAGTGGATGTTGCTTGGAAGAGAAATCTTTCACCCCAGGCAGCTCGTACGCCTTTGGTTTTGTTCTATAGCGGATCTCTACACGATCACCAACCTCAGACAACCTCTGCATCAGTGCCGCCAGGATGATGTCATTCTCAACAATGTAAGCCAGTGGTTCTGCCATATCGTCATTGTTGAATGTTATCATGGAGTCCGAGCAAGACTCCCAAACCTAGTGAGAGGAAAAGTATCAACTGTTTGTTTTCCGTCCAGTCATCATGGTCACATTGTAAGCAAACTGCTCACCCGATAAGCCAAAATAAAAAGGTTTTGTTTGTTTGTTTGTTGATTAATGCCGCACTCAGCAATATTCTAGCTATATGACGGCAGTCTGTAAATAATCGAGTCTGGACCAGACAATCCAGTGATTGAAATCATGAGCATCGATCTACGCAATTGGGATACGATGACATGCATAAACCAAGTCAGCGAGTCTGACCACCCGATCATGTTAGTCGCCTCTTATGACAAACATAGTTGCCTTTTACGGCAAGTATGGGTTGCTGAAGACCTATTGTACCCCGGATCTCCACGGTTCAGAATAAAAAGTAACATTATTTTCTTCCATCCCTCTCTAGGTGTGGTGTTGTTAGTGGTATGTTTTCAAAGACATGCTGTTCTTATCCAGCCAAGTTCATCATCATAAATACAGTGTACTGTAATGTGATGGTACAGATTACGAGAACATTGGTCTTTAGTGATGTATATATGTGTAAATGGTCTTGTCAACATTTTTTAAGCCTTAACGAACCTGCATCCTCCTGACTGGTTGACATCTCATCTGTAGAATTTCATCCCAACCACCGAAACCTAGAAGAAATACCAATACATGAAGATAATCACACCTGTGAATCTGTAAATTTCTTTCAGCAAAGTAATGACACATGAAAGTAAATACTTGTAATATGTTGACTGTACAATAAACTCATTAGAGGGAGTACTGTCTGTTAAACTTAGAATGCTGGCACTTTGTGATGTACATACTGTATATACATTACAGTCAATACAGTTAATATACTAATCCTATCTCACACTATGCCTTTTTTCCTTCTTCTTTCGATCATCATGTGGAAACATGCTTGAACAAAGTTTCAAGCTTCTAAAAACATTTCACCTGAAAAAACATCCTAGCATCACCATGGTCACCACCCAAACAAATGGGTCATCCCCAAAAAGATCCCAAAACATAGATCTTAAGAGTGTCAACCTGTAGATGTGTAATGTCGAACCCTTGAATGTTGATCCTTTGATGAACTATGCCCCGATTATTTCATAATGTTCCGTTCCCATCCTCTTCTTCAATTAGAGTCCACAGATGGTGATTAGAAGGAGAATGATGTGGCAGGGGTAGTCAGGTGATAAATCATGAAGGTCACACGCACGGGATATAGTGCATAACCCATTTGTTTCCATATAAGGATCAAAAGAAGAAGTAAGAAGTGAGATAGGATAAGTTCAAAAATATATTTTTCTCAAATGATTGTCTCCTGCAAATCCCTAACATAGTTGGTAGTGGCATGACATAAACCAGTGTTTAATATTGAACACTGTAACCAAACTATTCTTTTGCTCTCAATGTAAATAAAAACATCAGCTTAAAAGTTGCCATCCTTTTGAGACTTACTGTTAAAGAAATTGACAGTTGCTGGACTTAAAGCACACGTCCTGTTGCTGTATTTCTCCTGAAGAATAAACTTTCCTTTGTCTGGGGCTGCTTCAAGGAGGATTACTTTCTTGTCAGAGAACAAAGGGTTGGTGGCTACAACAACAAATACAAAGTCTTGTCAAGATTCTCAATGGCAAACCACTCTCAAACCTACCAGTAATCTACTTCTTATCAAACTCATTTCATGCACTTTGTAGCCTGCAACCTCGGGGTATCGCGGTACTTGTCATGTACGCTAAACGGAACAAAATGCACTCACTAACCTTTATGTTTATTCGTGTTCTCTGTATCAGATATCATTTATTTGATCTAACAATGCATATTTTACTGATAAAAGTTCATTATTTACATTAGTAGCTCCGAGTAAAAGCCGGGCCTCGCGCTCAGTTTGACAAGGGAGAGAACTCCATCGTATCGCGGTACAGAGAAAAGTTGTGTATGGAGGTCCGAATTGGACAAAAAGAGGACATAATTCTACCAACCACTTGGTATGATCATGCCAGACATCAGTGATTTGTCCAGACAAGTGCAAAGACAGCACAAGTAAAATTCTAAATGTGTTATCAGCAATAGGTATTCAATGCATATTTACCGAAATGTAAGAGAAAAATATTTTTATAAGTCAACATCAAAATATCAGAAATGATATTTTAAGATTGTTTAAAAAAAATTGGATGACAATAATTTGTCACAAAATGTTAAAATGTTAAAAGTCAACAATAAATATATAAAAAGCACTCCTAGTATGCCCAAAGTATGTATTTATCTTTTGGTTACTAGGTTACTAGTGAAGAACGTATTTCTAAGTTTGGCATTATGGCCCTTATGATATCCCAATAGTTTCTGGGCACAGAGCGGGAAAAATTGTGCGGACTACGTAACTTCCGTTACCTCATTAGTCGCCATGAATATGCAGATGATCTAGTTCAGGTCGATAGAGAAAGTTTACTTGGGGAACTGCGGGTTATATCGTTGGCCATTGATAGTTGGGGGTAAGGCAATATTACAACAGATGCCAGAAATATGTATCAACGGATTAATAACTCCTTACTTACAGCAGACGGAACATTCCGAGGAAATTGAAGTTGTTTACGAAGTGAGCACTTCCTGGTTACTGATTTGCATTAATAGACAGCCACTATGAGGCGTGTCCCACGTGAACTACCGGAAATCACAAATGCCGCGATACGATGAATGCCGCGGTACTATGGGGTCCGAGTATATATAGTAAATGAGTAGAGCTTCAGATTTAAGTGAATATTTTTGGGTCCAGTGAGTGATCTGTAAGTTCAATTTATTGCTTGTTTTCTGAACCAAAATAAAAATAAAATATTAGGTGTTGTTTTTTCATCTCGCATTAGTGGCCATTTTGGCTGGGAAGATGTTTGGTTTTCGCCATTTGGTGAAGTTTTTGCTTGGTGACATTTTGCTGAGGTGCTGCTTTAGCTATAACCCCAAAAGTAGTATTGAAAATGCCCTTAAATTGCCTCTGAAAAAGTAGTCTGTTCATGAGCAATCCATCCCAACACAACTACCCTAACGATCGAAGGGGAATGCGAAATCAGGGTCACAGCCGGATCCATTAACGCTATAGAGTTGTTCTCTGCAATATAACTAACTTGGAACTCTATAAACTAGAATTACAACTTCAGTCAATTGCAAGGTGAACTTCACTCAACACACCCAATGCGCAAGCCATTGCTGCTCCAACCATACCACCTCCGGATATGACAATATCTGACGTTTCTTCATTGTTATCTAAGAGATGTGTACTGGTGCTGAATGTTCTCCTAATCCGTGTAATAGCACTGTAGGAGCGAGACCTTGGAAGTATCCTTATCAATGTTGAGGACAATGCTGAGGTAACCATACTGACTTTGATATTTGGAGTAACCTCCCCTTGTTGACATCAGTTTCGCACTTACGTCTTGTTATATTTATATGAAATTAAATATTTTTATAGAATTATTTTCAGTTTAGACTAGTAATGATTAGATTAAAATATTAAAATGTGAATAATATTAGCAATTAAAAAGATGCAAATTTGCTGCGGGTCAACATAGCTCGTTTGCATAGTTCAGTTTAACATGGCAACAATGGCAACAAGCCATGGGCTGTCGGTCTTAACCAATTCTTGCATCAAACCACCTGTTAATCCTGATTCAGGACTCTCGTCAACTTATGATAAACGACCAGAGGCCTATTACAGGTATCATGAAAATGTTGACAATGCCGAAATTAACGAGTATGAGCTTCAAAATCGAAACGGCGGCAATGTCGGACACATACTCGCCAACGTCCCATTGGATGATGTTGCTTCGCACTTGCAATTACTGTCTGACGACGAATTTTATGACAGACTCTTGACACTAAAGGAAGAACAGAAGAAAACCCTTCAGAGATGTGAGGAAATGTACCGACAGAAATTGTCGAGGGAACAAGGTTTGACAACACAAGATGCAGTTGATGACATCTTCCACCGGAATGAAGTCCGGCAAACCGTGAATGGACATGTCTCAGATTCAGAAGATTCTCAGGCCTTCGCTGGATTTTCTCATTCACACCACATAGATCAAGTAAGAGATATGACTAGGAAACCTCCCATATCCCCATTGGTTAAACACGCATTACGACAGGGAGCAGTCATGTCTCAAACCCTCCCTGTAAGATCCCGAGTTTTTAAAGAACGGCCAAGTTCAGCTCCTGCCGCAGGGAGACATTACTCAAGAAGTTTGGATGGAGATGACTGGCAAGAAGATCAACAGCAATCAGCATATGAAAGTGGCAACGAGGAACTTCTGGAGAAATCACAGAATAAATCATCTGAAGAATTGTCAGCTGCTCTCAGTAGGATTGACGACATGTGGGACAATTTTTCCATTGAGGATTATGTGACAAGGGAGAGAAGACATTCCTCTGCATCTCTTGTGAAAGAAAAGAAAAGTAAGAGGCCTGAAGATAACTGGAGACATAGGCTTACCATACCACAGCCTTTTAAAATGACACTAAGAGACGAAATAAAAGAAAAAAAGAAAACTTCAGCACAAATTGAGTTAGAACTGAAGCGATTAGAAAGAGAGAAACAGGATGAGGCAGAATGTCAGAAAAAGTTCAAAGCATCTCCTGCTCCGGCCCACATCTACCTTCCGCTGTATGATGAGATACAAGAGAAGAATGAAGCACGACGCAGATATGTGAGAGAATATTGCACAGAAATGCTGAAATCTCAAGAGAAACCATTTAACTTCATGACTCGAGAGGAAGAAAAAAAGAAGTGCAAACCCACTCCAGCACCAGTCGTCAAACCAGTAAAGGAGAAGCCTGTTTTCAAGGCCAAACCAGTCCCAGAGTATCTCTATGATAACACTGTTAATGAAAAGTTAATGGAAGAGGAAGAATACAGGAGAATTCGCATCCAGATGAGGTCAGAGGAATTGCTGCGGGAATCAGCTCTACCTCCAAACATGGCAGCTAGACAAATGATGAAGGAGGAAAAGCTGAAAGTAAAGGCCTTGAAATCTAAGAGGCGACATTTTAAACCTAAAATCAACCGCTACGTACCAGATTATGATGCTCTATTTAACCAGTTCCAGAGGGAGCTAGCCAGACGGAAACGACAGAGAGATGCAACTGTTATGGAACCATTTGATTTGGAAACTGAGCGAATCCCATCCAGAAAAGAGAGGATTCTCAGGGAAATCGAGAGGGATGAAGAGTTACGACGAGAGAACAGGTGGCCATATAGATCTGGACGCATGACTCCAAGATCTGCAGGTATTGTATTTGATGACCAGTCAATGATAATGTGGGTTGCAGATCAAGAGTGTATTAATTTGATAATTTAATTAGGTTAGACACTTTGAAATACCATGGCACATCTAAAAATGTGAAGAATGGTGAATTTAGTACAGCTGATGGGATACTTCTCAACCTGTGTTAAAGTCTATCCTTGTTTTGTACCCAGGGTACGTTTCAATATATCTACATGTACTTTGCTTTTCCTGACTCTCGAAGTGTACCTTGAAATTTCCTTTTGTACCCTGGTTTTCCTGCTGTTGGATGTACTGCTGTCATATGGCTGGAAATTGGAATATTGCTGAGTGAGGCGTTAAACAACAAACAATAATCCTGCCTGATGTAACAACATATTGCTTTGATTTGCCATAGCGTAATTGCTGATACCTGGGTACAATTTGTTTGAGCTGGATACATGAAACTGCAAGCAACCATAACCATTCATGTGTACATGTACATGGGACCCGTGAAGATCCGGGCTAGAATATGTCTTCAGCAACCCATGCTTGCCGTAAATCGATGGCAATAGTCAATGGCGTAGATCGATGCTCATGCTATCAATCACTGGATTGTCTGGTCCAGACTCAATTATTTATAGACCGACGTCATAAAGATGGAATATTGCTGAGTGAGTGGTTAAACAACAAACAAACATGTAAATGGGGTGGATATATTTGAATGTTGACTGGGTACAATACAATAGTACCCCTCAGTGATCGTTAACGTACATGTATGCTTTCTCTTGATCTTTTGGAACCGTTCCGCAATTTATTGTCATATATCAGACGAGATTCTGGTTAAATGCTGTCTGGTGATGGCTTACCACAATGCTAAGGATATCAGTTTTCTCCACTGCCTTCATTCATAAATTTTTTATTATAGGGCATTATCAATAACTTAAAATAAGGCCATGTTTGTGCAAATTGAAAAATTGTTATTGTGAAAGAAACAGGATCATTATGATAAAGGCTGAACTTTCATTTCAAGATATTAAGCTGCTGCTGCTGTAGTGCATGCTGTACAGTCGTAACCATGGTAACAGTACATCAAACATTCATCTTTAATGTGATACATTTTGCTGATAACTGCAAAATCTGATTGAATTTCCTCAGGGATTCTGTCTACGTCTTTGGATTCCATTCCTGCAAAGACAACCCACAGCAGTCAGCTAAGAGAAAGTGTTACTAGGTAAGTACATTTGAAAAGAGCTGAAATATTGCTAATACAGTGTGACATTCTAACTCACGTGTCTACATTCTAATAGGGCCCCGTTCCACAAAGCGATCTTAGTGTTAAGACTATTGTAACTCCCATTCTTCAACATAGTTACACACTAAGTTGATCGCTTTGTGGCACGGACCCTGGTCTTTAACACTATCTCCATGATCATTGTTATGAATGTTATTAGACTCTGCTGTTTGGTTAGAATAAATTTATTTTGCACATTCCCTTGAATTGCCCGGTTTCTTTACATGATCCACCAACTTGGCAATGATCTATTTGAGGCATGACAATGATTGAGATAGCTATTTGGCTTTGCCAGTTTGAGATTATGCTCATCTCATGACTTTACAGAGATCATCGACAGAAGCTGACACAGCGAGAACAAGAAGAGTTGGAAGAAGAGAGAAGAAGAAGAATACGAGGGATGAGAATTAGGAAGACAATCTCAGAAAGATCTTCTGTAGATAGTGCAAGAGGCCGACGTGAAACAGTCAGTGATAGGATGAAGAGAATCAGGTACGATAGGATAAGGCGCAGTGATTTCAAAATGGTTCAGTTTTCAAGTTAAAGAATTCAGGTCAAGAGTCCTTGTCATTACCCTGATGTTAAAGATTTTGCTGGTTCTTTCATAACAATAATTACAAACCTCAAGAGATTCTTTGCACAGCAATATTAGCTCTAGGACTGGCGTAAGTCAGTGTTAAAGTATGGGAGCTAAAATGTCTATGTGCTAATATCTCTTTGTGCAATTGGACCATGGACCATAATTTCTAACATAGGTTCTTCTATGTTTAAAGTACGACAAGAAAATCTGGAAGTTTTGAGCAGGGCATATTTAGGTTATTTGTATTCTTATGTGTAACATACAAAACAAGATAACTTGGTATGACAAGAGATGGGACAAGCGTATTGAACTGCAATGGGACTGTGTTGAAACATAATTAAAACTCACAATATTTTAGTTGTGTATGCTACTACTTGCTAGGCTCAGAACTTTTAATAAACCGTCATAATAGAACTCTTCATCCATGTTCAAGCTTGCAAATTGACAGTGGTATTTTCCCTTAAAATTTGTTAAGGTTGAAAAAATGTGAGCAAGTATATGTCCAAAATTGCTGCCATTTCGATTTTGAAGCTCATGCTCGATAATTTTGGCATTTTCATCTTATTAGACCAAAAGATATAGAGTATCTCACCCTCGTGTCTTTTGATATCAAATATATCAACACGAGTTGATAAAAGTGGAAAAATTCCGAGGCTTGCCGAGGATATTTGCCACTTTTATCAACGAGTGTTGATATATTTGATATCAAAAGACACGAGGGTGAGATTTTATTTATCATCCAACATCATTCTTTCAACTTTTTCAATTTGTAGACAGTAATTAGCAGTGTCTTCAATGTAAAAAGTACTGCAAACAGCTTCAGTAGCAGAGCCGTTAGTGATGTCATTTGATTGTGACGTCATGGTAACCAGTGACGTCACAATGGTCTGCAAAGCATTGTGATGTAATTTCATTGCAGCGATATCTACAGTGTAGATATCGCTTGATCTCATCCAAGCGATATCTCCTGTGGGAGGCAGTTTCGGATGATAAATTTTACTAGCCACAGGCTTTGGACTTGGTTTATATCCCAGACTAAGAGAGTATCTGCTTGACTGATCTAATGATAAAATAGATGTTTGATTTGTGTGTCAAGAGTTTAGTTTGATTTAAAAGGATTTACTGAGCAAGGAATTGTGCAGACAATTTGATCCAATGTATTTGACTTGTGTGTACCTTTGTTACGGGTGATAGAAGAATTATCCATAACCTCAGAACAATGGTATTTCAGAGAGGAGGAGAGATCTCGTCAAGAGGAATATGATCGAGAGCTGCAGAAAATTCAGCAGAAAGTACAACAAAGACCATTGTTGTTTGAACGTCAGTCACAGGTGTGTATATTTAAAGATTATACTCCAGGAAATCCCAGATAAACTAGGTCCCTCCTTGCCTTATTGTTTGTAAGAGGGGTCTAAAACTTTGATTTGATTGAATGATTGCTTAATGAGGATCATCATGCTTTTGGTTTGATTTTGTGCTGATTCAGAAAATGTGTGCCATATATTTTGGCCTTGGTACTACTGTTTTTGTTAGCCTTGAAATTTAGTAAAGTTTTCCTTGTTGTTTGCTTATTTTTGTCACTAAATACAAAACACTTCTATCCATTCCATGAAAATGACGAGAACAACTAGTTTTCATGGCTATGGGTAATTAATGGCATTAATTGGTACTCTCACAGGGAAAGGAATTAACCTAAAAAATATATTTTGCCGAATAGTGATAACGTATAGGAACATCCCCGAAATGTTTGAAATTATCCCAGCCCTAAGGTTACCTTTAACATAAGCAAAACTGTTTCAGACGAGAGGGCTAGTGAAAAATTCTATCACTGCTCTCATGAAGTTTATACAGATATTTTCACACTCACATTCTAATAACGGAATATGAGTTTTCTGTAAGGTTTGTGCAATGATATTACTTTATTAGATTTGTGTGTAATGATCCTACACAGGCAATGAAGTGTTACAATATTCAATGACACGCCTTATATCAGTTTCTAAACACCCTTGCTGGAAGCTGAAGCTGACCAAGAGAAGAACAGTGTGTTACCTGGCTGATGGTGTGTTTGTTATCTCGCAGGAGAGTTAGTCACTGGTTAGCCAGGTGTGATTATTCACAGGTCACACTGGCAGGTGGATTATCGTTTACTGCGGTGCGAAACAATGTTTGGTGCATCACAATATGAGTATTTGTACTATAAGGTCATTTGAAGAACTGACTTCTATACAGTCAAGTCTCGTTAATCCGACACTCGTTAATCCGACAATCGGCTTTATCCGACACTTATGATGGGAACCAATTAAATCAGTGCTATTTAGACCCGTTAATCTAACAGTCTTGCACTCCTACTCTGACACACCTAATTTGCAACGAATTACCGAAATCACTCATTAATCAGTCTCGTTAATCCAACACAGTGATCAACGTACTCAGTGGTCATCTGCCCGCGAGTACACAGCCCGTGTTTTGATGCGAGACGAATCGGCTGGTAGCTGCATATTACAACGGCTGCAGAGATAAACTTGCTTAACAATGAACAATTAATGCTTTAAATAAAGAAAACAGGATAATTCACATGCTTAGATTGTCTCAATCTTATTAAAATCAGATACAAGTTCTCACTATCGACGAGGACATCCTATTACAGGTCACGTCAGAACAACCTTTCGCGAACTATGACCTACCAATGAAATGACCAACAGGAACTCGACGTTAGCCACTTAGAAAGCAGCTTTCTTAAGCTTTGGGTACCAGTTTCAAAGTTGTGACTTCCATTCCAGAGTATGCTTTTTAAAGTATTTTGAATCGGTCATACAGTCCGTAACAGTTGTTTTGTGTTAAACTTTAGAGGTTGCATGATTAGAAAACACATTCCGCCAACAATGTAACATAACAATATGAATATATATTTTATATTTTTTATTACGTGTTTGAATCCTTATCGATCGTGTAGTTGTCGATTTTTTATCACGAACGTTGATACTACTAAATTTCGTTTATCCGACATACTCGTTAATCCGATATAATCATATGCAACCATCGATGTCGGATTAACGGGACTTGACTGTATGTGTTTGCGTTTATGGAGGTATGAACATAACACTGGTGTGAGCACTGTGTAAGTCAGAATAGTTGGTATTCCATGTATGACTTCATAAATGTAAAACCATATTGAAGTCAATACTTATAAAATATGTCAATAATTTATAGACTGCTTATTTAATCATTAGGACCAAAAAAACAACAATTTAGAGAACAATTTGAAATGAGAGACATCATCCAGCGCAATAAGCCCCACCAACTCTATTATCAGCCAGTCTGGAAACATTAGTGGGCGTGGCATTTGTTTTCAGGTTTATAGAAACAAGCAGAAAATAAATTGCTTGCTTAGAAAATCAAATCACTTTTAGTTTTTTCATATAAGTGTATATTAAAGGTTGACATGTAAAATTGTATGTACAATAGGCCACTAACCACTTTTTCATTGATTAAATCAATGATAAATATGTTTTGGTCTGAATTCTTTTATTCATTTTCATGATGGCATATTTTGCCTAACAATGCAAGTTTGTTTTGTATTCATGACATGTATCACATTGTGTATCATCATTTTGCAACAGTACTAACTAGATATGTATCATATAACGACGAAGTGTATCCATACATCCCTATTAACTCACTTGCCAACTCTTGCATGCATACTAAACTGTAGGTGTGTTGCAGGTAAACGCTAGAAAAGCAGCAGAGAAGAAATTCTCCAACACTTTAAGAAGTGTTGGGCTGGACGAAGACTTCCTTCACAGTCGCAGTTCGGCGACTCACAGTCGCAGTTCAATGACTCACAGTCAAGTCGTGGATGGGGACAACTACGATGATGATAGTTTTGATGACACTGCCCTCAAGTCTACAGAGATGGATGATGAGTGACACGTTTACTGTTAGAACTATTGTATAAATCTAAAGCAAAGTCAAAGGAAAAATAAATTAGAAATAACAGTGATGAATATAGCATTTTGTGCTGAAGGCATGTTTGCTGTACCTGCCTATAGGTATGCCAGCCTGAAAGAATCTAAATTAACACATTCCAACTACTTTGCTGCATATTCTTTGGTTAGTTTTTCGTTTAGTTCAATATTCACAGCATATTCTGCAGAAAATGGCTAAAGTAATTTTATTCAAAGAAAACTATTTATTTTTGTATTTATTACCCCTATTGATGTCGTTATGTGTGTTTTACAATCCGTCCATATTGTTGTAAGTCAACAATGTCTAGTTAACACGGTCACTGTAAATAGCTACTATGTCTCATAAAATATATGTTATATGTTGGAAATTAGTTTTCCTGTATATGCACTAAAATAAAACAGTGCCTTTTATAATAGTTTTATAACACTTCCTGGTCCATCTTTCTCATCAGACAATTGTTATCTTGAAAAAAACTTATGTTATTGCCATATTGCCTGCGGAATTCTGTTCTTCCTGTGGAAAAACACATGTGGCCATGTGTTAATAGGTGCCATTGTAACAGACTATTTGAGATATTGATAAGGCCTTGTGTGGTAACTAATTGTTTTGTGTGGTCAGTATCTGCGGATGACAAGATCTACCTACCTCACTGTGTACACACTGTTTGCTCCTTAGCCATATATATGTAAATTAGAAATGCTGACATGCAAAACTAACATTCCTCGTCTTATCAATGTGTGAAGTGTAAAAAGTTATTCACCATTTTATCCCTACTCAGCACAAAGCTATAGGTTTAGAGAACATGTATGTAATGAACAAATCCTGTATTTTGAATATTTGGTTGTTTATGGATTTTAAAATTGTGTGGTTTAGGTAACTTGAGGTATGGAGCAGTTCAGTGTCACACATATTTCATCTTAGTTATGACATGATTAACTGCATGTTAATAAATAAGATATGATTTTGTTTGTTTGAAAAGTTATGAATTTTTACTTGTGTATGTCTGTGTCAAGTGCTTTTATTCCTGTTGTGCACTCATGTATCTGTGATATCTACTCTTATACATGTCTGTACTGAGCAGTAGACGACCAATCTGGATGTCCAGTATGTATTTTACATGTATTTTAGAGGAAATAGAGGTAGCGATTCTATTCCAAATAAAATAAAGCTACTTTTGTAGAATGTTGTTGAATTGTTACTTTTTTTTACCAACAGCAATATGCATAAATCTTGATTTAAAGGTTCTCTATTATACATAGAGCAGTGGTATGTCACTATAATACTCACACCATGAGGTTTGGCATGGTTTTATGATGCTTTAATGAGCCATAGGGCTGGTTGTTGCATGAAGCCATATATTGGATGTATCCCCATTATGCACTGACAGTCTATGGAGAATAACTCTCAGCTTTAGCTGATACAAAGGTCATGTTGTGTGGGAGGATGCTTTACACTGGCCTGGTACCGTGAAAGTGATCTTGGGCCTCAATCTTGTGACAAAATATGGACTTAAGTTATTTTCCAGGGCTCTGACTGGAGAGCTGCAGCATGGTATTCCAGTCACTCATATAGGAGAATCTTAAGTTAGGGAGCTGTTGCTTACTGCAATGTGAATCCTTTCCACTCTCTCTCTCTCTCTCTCTCTCTCTCTCTCTCTCTCACACACTCACACACACACACACACACACACACACACACACACACTACGGTTATAGCAGATAGATAGGCAGACAATTTACTTATCAGCAATATCACGGCGGGGAACACCTGAAATGGGCTTGACACATTGTACCCATGTCGGGAATCGAACCCGGGTCTTCGGCGTGAAGAGCAAACGCTTTAACCACTAGGCTACCCGACCGCCCCTGTCTGGTACAGACTTGATTCTTTAGACCGAAATATTGCTGTCTGAGGCGTTAAACAACAAATATTGTGTCTGTAACATGTATATTGAATATTCACTCACCTAATCCATAGGTATACAGCCTGTTCGAACACATTTTGGCTTGGTCATGATAAGCTTTGGGAAACACAGAACAAATGACATACTTTACATAGAATGTAATTTAATCACATTACAAAATAAACTGTACAAAATATGTAGAAATAAAAAAAATATTTATGATGGCATAAACATAATTCTACAGAGGTGCAAACATGGCCAGGTAAAAAAAACCTGTTGACTGGACACCAACTGTAAACCGTCACATTTTCATCATAACAAGGACACTGTTTCTTTTATTGACAGGACTACAATCAATGGTGTATCTGATCTTGAGCAGAAGTCTCATTTGTGGCAGAAATCTTAATAACATGCTTAGGTAATGTGATCAGCATGATCAAGGAATGCTACCTGTTTTGTCAGCGTGGTTCCTACATTGTAGCTTCACTGCCTTTGGCCTTGGGCATCATTCACTTTCCTAAGTGTCAGTCCTATTTCCAGTGCTTGAACACTGATATTCACTACAAATAGTACTTCTTTACTCAAATTAATCATATATATCACAATGCCATGGTAATATCTACCGTAAATAGGAAATGTGCTTTAGATCTTGATTCCACCACAATCCTACCTTGGATTTCGGTCTACGTTATGAATCTTTATTCAAGAAATCTTAAATTCATAATTAAATAAATTAAGCAGAACATACTTGGAGCATAAAGCAAAGACTCATCTTCACTTTGCAGACATCAACATATTACAGGCAATATAAAGTGCACTGGGAAAACTAACTATATAAAATTATTACAGAAAAAAATCAATTTGAATATTTAACTTTGAAAATACAGATTTTGCATATGACACAACTTATGAAATGAGCACAATAAATAATATTGATATGAAAAATAACATAATAAAAAAGAACACAATGTGGTAGATTGAAACTGCCCATCTTAACCTTTGTTGACATTCTGTCTTACACATCCATTTTGCAGACTCACAGATGCAAAATAAATACATGTATAAAGTTTGGATTGATTCGTTGTGGGTCAAGAAGGCTTGGGACTTCCTTGTCTTAATATTTCCTCGTCCTGTGTTCTTGTACATACACAAGTAGCTGCCGGCCACAGGATCTCTTTTTCACCGAAAATAATTGAGAGACTAGGTTGAGACCATGGTGACTTACAGCATACAAAAGCTAGGTACACTGTCAAAAAACTACACTGTAGCTCAAAATGAAATATCAGAGCCATGTGGCTAAACAGAAAGAGTTCGCAAGTAGTTGTGCATTATGTACGTCATTTTCAGCAATATTCCATTGATGTTACAGACGAATAGCCTAGAAACACAGAAACATTTAAAATGGCTGCCATGACAGTGGTCCAAATTGAAATCAGACTGTTTGAAGCACGTTTTAATGACACAACTGCTGGCACCATCCAAGCAAAGTTTCACATGTGCTGTGGTTTCAGAGAAGCTGAAAATGTTAACATAATTGTCCTAAAGATAGAAAGTGCTTGCCATAACATAAGTTCTCATAATGTTTCATGGTTAAGCACAAATGATACAATAATGTTATCTTATTATGTTATTTTTGTACTACAGAGATGCAAAATGAAAAGAGTGACTTGACACACCAAGATTAACTGCAATCAAAATGTCAAAACATCACTAACCCTTGATGTGTGAAATACCCAGAGAAAGTGAAAAAAATGCAGGCTGAAGAAAACAGAAAAATATTGAAGTCTTCTGGTCATATCTGAAACTAAGCCTTGATACTACTTACACAGGCTGATAAATCCATATTATGCTGACCATCTCAACTATGGTATAACCATATTTGACTTATTAAATACGCTGATCCAATAAACGCCCCCGACCAACTTCTAGAACAATCTTTTTAATTTTTATAAGTGCCCCATACTGAGACTAAAACTTTACAAGACAGTCCCTAATTTCTTATATATTATAGACCTTTATTTAAAAACAGACAACAACAGCGCAGAAGGGATATACTTTTGCCCAGTAACTATTATCGAATATGTTTCATCTATGCTTGACAGTGCTCCAGATAGATGCCATATCGGCATATTGTATGGATAGAAAGTACTGAAATACGGATGGATTGCAAATTACAACAGCGTCAAATAAGCAGGCAAACAATACTATTAGCTCGCATGATTAATTGTTACCATACATTGTCTATTAATTAGGCAGGAATGCAGTATATCAGACACCTTCCACCATTTTGGTAAGGGATGTGCACAAGCTCATTCCCTAGTAATGGTTTCTATGTTTTTCGGACACCATTTTTGTACCTTTGCTAAAACAACAGGGGGAGGGGGGCTTCCCCCCCCCCACACTCAAAGGCTTGAATTAAATGCTCTGGTATGTAAATGAAATGTTTAATTACCAAAGTAGATACAAATACTTTATCAGTAGAATCAAACACACATGGCAGATTGGTGTCCGGAATAATGCATGTGTACCATTTTATCTCAAAAACGTTATTTGAAACAGTGTTAATCTTCTGTTTACAATATCAGGCATTACCTTCCACTTTAATGGGAATACGTCATTTTGTGTTGGCAGCAAACGGCTTTCCTCCCAATCCTGCAATATGATTGGCTAATAATAACGCACTCAAATTCTCACGTCTCGGTTATGTTTACATTAGTTTGGCACCCAAATCCGAAAGTACAACACAAGGTCTTTGAATAATGGCGGCACAATATCATACTTCTCACCAGTACTTCTCATTCCTAGAAACAAGCAGTACAGTATTTATTGTTTTGAAAAAATATGTCTGGAACTCGTAAAATCTGATAATGACCAGTACTGTACTCATATGGTTGAAAAAGTTATCTGGAGCACTGCTTGAACTAAGTTTGTTCACATCCGCGCGACCTCGTTTAACTGGTTGTGTATGATTTATCTGAGGGCACTTATTACAGTGAATACGGTATGTCTCAACAGACAAATAAAAGTTGCAAAGGAAGGAAATTTATTAATGTTATTCTCCCTCTCAAGGACATATTTACACTACCTATGTATTATCACCCTTCAGACATAACATAACCTAACACTAAGCTGACAACTATAAATTTTGTTCCAAGGTTGCAAATAAAGAAATGATTATGTATGTTCATTAATAACAATGCATGGCATACAATTGAAACCAACATCCTTGGATGTTCAGTTGTTTCATAATCAATACCATATTCAGTATCTGGCCAGGCAAATGCCACAGAGTTAAACATTTTACACCAGAACTAGCACCAGAGGGACAACATTCACCGTGTCAGTATCACAATCATATCTTACAACAGTTGAATAACACATCTTCTCAACATGGGTGTCCACACGTTAAACTAAAACAAAACTAACATTGGTTCTCAGATATATCCACTTAAGCACACATTCACCTTACAACTAAACACAACATGGATACTGTTAATTTCATATAATTTTACACATGTTAATAAGATGCAACATTTTCACATTGAGCATCAACATTAATATCTCTTTAGGAATCGGTCATGTATTACAGGGGTGGGTGGGTTAGAAGTTCTTGACGCACTCATGTACTGAAAATAATGACCCTCCCCTAATGCTTGTAATATTTTGGGATAACCATCCCCATTTCCTTGTACATTTTTTTCATGACACTTCCTGAAAAGACAAAACGCAAAAACCCTTTATATTTTATTACAAAATGTCCACTTTTTCACGACCCTCCTCAGATTTGTGTTTTATTTTTTATGACCCTCCCCTAAAGACTGTCAGATTCCCTCTGACCCACACACCCACCTCTATTATGAATGACCGGTCCCTTAACGCCTGAGAACCAACATTTTTTTTCACCTTTACTTCAGCCTATGGTTGACCTGTAAAACTTTCAGATCCGAAGTGTGTATCATAATAAAACAATTTTTTGTCACTTAATGTTTTTTTTGTTTTAAGCAGACCACAATTCCAATCATTTTGGAAGAATCCTGATATGGTAATACTATTCCCCATGTTACTGAGATCAACAATGAACAATCATATATGAACATATCACATCTGATTCCATCACAGCCAACAAACTGCTACCTACTCACAATACACAGTAATACTCATTTCCACCTCTATCACACTCAAAGACAAAGACTTCATGGTTACCATAGTCATTTGAGTATTTGTGCTGAACTAGGTAAATGTTGCCAAATCTTCATTCTGTTTTACTAAAAAAAAACATACCATATTCGACGTAAAATTAGAAATAGGAAGCTCTTATTAGAATATTATTCCAGAGTTAAAAGGTAAATTTCGTGGTTTATGCTGACAGCCTGAAATGTTTATGTACGACAGATATATTTTTCCAGAATTTAACTGCCCATAATTAAGTGTGCATATAACAGATGAGTGCGTATTTTAAGCGAATATATAAGTCTTGTGTACATTGATCAATCGGAAGGGGTGCTAATTAGGATTGTTCACTGGCAAATATATTAGCGAATATCGCTGTGGGTGCTTATTAGAGCGGGACGCTTATTACGTCGATTACGGTATATAAAGTTTAACTTTACTTCTTAATGGGACCGCGGAAAATAATATACTGAAGAAATCTGATATGTCATGAATTAATATTTTTAAATAAATGGAAACTCTTGGCTGCATTTAGTTCTGAATCTTTATGTAGAAATGAAAGTAAAAACATTGCATCTTTAGGTACAATTCACTCTCACAAATCAGCTTCTAGATGCATTTGCTATTACTCTGTCATGTCTATATGCTTTAGGCATACACCATTCAGCTTACTATCTATACTAATCAAGTAATGGTTCAAGTCTATCACTGCCAGAGCAATATAGGAATCCTCCAGTGGCTTTCAGACCTACGGGTAACAACAGAACCATACATGACAATGTGTCCCATCTACACACAATGTACTGGCTCTGAAACACACACCATGATGTTGGATAGTTTTGACAATGTCATTCAAGCTGTGTGATCAGGATCATACCTCCAAAATAAATTACTTCATTTGAACATATAATCTGTAACTCAATAGAGGCAAGTGAAATTACCACCCATGATGTAATTCAATCTACTTTGTAAAATACACTGATGGCAAATATCCCAGAGCCACTGTCGTTTGCTATTGACATGTGGAGCACAATGACATTACAATGGACAAGCATCAGAAATCATGGATTACTGTGACAAACGAAGTAGATGCTTAGGGAACAAATCAAAACCTGTAATTTCTACAACTGGCAAGGTGGAAATATCTACTGAGCATTTACAGTTGAAGTAATACTTTGTATCTCCATTCAAACTCGGATCATAACACATAAAACACCATCACCCCATTTCTCCATGTTAGACCTTGTCCGTCTGCTGTTTATTTGTCACTAAATCCTCCACATGATCAGTGTCGTCATCCGACTCCATCATAGGATCCATGGCCATCTCCCTCCCCGTTTGGGAGGAGCTGGAAATATCACCATGTTCTGTTAGTCCTTGGTCAGCAGCCATGATGCCATCGCCCATGTCTCCTGACCCCTGTGACCCCTGGGTCAAGGACTGAAGGCTGAATTCAGAATGAGCAATCTCTTCATGGTCGAGGTCCGTATGTAGGAGGTCAGTTTCGTATATGATCTCCTCTCTCCCAGGAATGTGTGGCTGGTGGTAAGGTGAGGTCAGACTGACTATCTCCTGTGGTTGTGAAAGGACCACCACATTCATGCCTTTGTCCCCAGCCTGGAGAGCCTCAGTGTGGATAGGGTCACCATGTAAACCTGAAAACAGAACACATTTGACACATATACATGCACATAATGAATATTCGCTGGTCTGTATTCTGATGAGTAGTTCTAAAATCTAGATGATTTACTCTACCTGTAACTGTCCAACTAAAAAAAATGGGGGCTAGTGAGCATGCTACTGGGCTAGGCACAATTATTAAGTACCATGCCAAATTCACACTGTATCTTAGAGGCTTATACAAATTCCTGTTTAAAATACTTAAATCAAGCAAAAATTTGATAAAAGCATCTGTTCTACTTCTGATTCAAATACCAATATCTGGTTAAGGAAAAAATCCTACAATCCAAGTCTATTTTATTATGTATGATCTTATAATATAACAATGCATATAAGCACGCATATCACTAGATGAGAGTCCACTCACGGTACAGAAATAACATCATTCATGATTTCAATATCACATCATAGTAGATTTCATCCAACAGAATATAAGATGATAACTTCACACTGAATATGTTCAAAGGTACGCTGTGATTGAACAGGGCTCACCTTGTGCCTCCAGAATGTTATCTGGTAGATGTATCTTCTCAGCATCACTGTCAGCTGGTTGTGTGGTCACGGTCACAACATGGTCCGTCAGACCTTGCGTCAACACCACAGGTTCATGTGCATCTGCTAGTAAGGAGATGATAAAAAAAATATTTAAAAGACAACACAAGGAAAGAAACATCATGACGTGAGGGAGATTTGTGTGTAGGGAAGGGTTTTACCTAGACTTACAAAAGTGGGGGTCCAAGGGACCCCCAATAATAAATTTGAAGGGTCCTTGCAGGCAATATGAGGGTACAGAATATAAAGTGAGTGAGTGAGTATGGTTTTACGCCGCTTTGAGCAATATTCCAGCAATATCACACATTGTACTCATGTTGGGAATTGAACCCAGGTCTTCGGCGTGACGACAGTATATAAAGTAATGAAATGGTGTAGTGTACTGTACATTTAGATAATTGCTTCAGAGCCTGGAATGAATCAGTGAGAATGTGGAAAGTGTTTATGATTCATGGGTAAACACAGATGCCTATAACTGCTCTTGATGCGCTGTAGGTTCTGTGCGGCCCTTGGGACACATCATTTTTTTTCTGTGTCCATACTTAAATTTATGCATACTTGACACACATTTGTGCGTCATGTAACCCCTGGTAACATGTCATGCTTGTTGCCTCATGACACTTAGTGCTATGACAGTCTGAAAATTTAGCCACGAGTCCGAAGCCTAAGTCTAGTAAAAACCTGTTCGGTCTTGTAAGCTGGCAAGACAGATTAACTATAGTAATACGCATATGAAAGAATCGGGCGGTCCAAAACTCACTTTCAGTATATATATACAAGTTCTCAAGCAACTGTTAGTTCAATTGACTCAAGTGTAGTTCATACATATTGGCTGGGCCTACTTTCAATCCCTTTTGTTGATGGAAAATCCTTGAGTTGACATGTGTCAAGTTTATATTAGCGTATTCGACGTAATAAGCGCCCCGCTCTAATAAGCGCCCACGGCGATATTTGCTGATATATTGGCTAGTGAACTATCCCAATAAGCACTCCTTCCGATTGATCAATGTACACAAGACTTATTTATTCGCGTATAATACGCACTCGTGTGTTATATGCATTCTTAATTATGGGCAACTAAATTCTGGAAAGGTTTATCTGTCGCATATAGACATTTCAGTGTGTCAGCATAAACCACGAAATTTATCTTTCAACTCTCTTTTTTTCCACCAAATAAACATTCTAATAAGAGCCCCCTATTTCTAATTTTGAGAGCGCCCTGGGCGCTTATTACGTCGAATATGGTAATCATATTGCAAATGCACTATCGAGATATCTATCATAATGATTGTACGTGCCATACACTTAGTTAAATAGAAGAAAGTAAAATTCTGCAATTATGAAACTGAGAGACTGAATGCCTTCTTCATCTCTGAACAAGTAGTGTCTGAAGTCTCTGATGTCAAAACTTCAAAACAAATTCTTCACATGAAACAAAACTACCTCCATAGTGTTGTGCCAGCTCATGAATAACGATCAGCTTTTGGTTGTCCGTGCCTTCCTTCATGCCCTCCTCATTTATCTCTCTCTTTACTGCAATGGCTGATGCGGATGATGATGTGACAGTGACAGCGATGTCGTTCCTCTCCCTCCTCATCGTCACAGCGGCTGTAGCAGCTGCCGCCATCTCATGCCTCTTCATGTGCACCTTCCGACTACCACTCTGGGAAAATGTCTTGAAGCAGATGTTGCAGGAAAATGGTTTTTCACCTGTAAAAATATTAAGATGTTGAAAGTGTGCATAAATAATTACTATCAGACACACATGAAATGATCTATTGAGTGTCATTAGTTTATTTTAATATTTATCTGACACTGTCTTAACTTGTCAAGATTTCTTGATCACCTAAAGAGGCATTCACACAATAAAATATACAATGGGTATACAATTTGATGCATGCATGAACAGGCAACTTGTTGGACGTGAGTTGTCCAAAATATGACATGCTCTATTTCCATGTGACAAGTTGTATGAAAGCAGCCAATCAAAATGCTGTATGTTGTAAACAAAAATGGTGGCTCCAATTCACATCGGAAACTTCTGCTTTTCGGTATCCAAAGTGTCACCACTCAACAAAGAAACCTATAAAAAGTAGGTACACAGAATAACCCTGTTACAAATTATACATTTTCACTTTTGTATCGGTCTAATTCTGAAAATATTTCACAGTGTTTTGTGAGATAAACTCTAGGCCTTGATTAGGAGGTCAATAAGACGTTTCTAAAACTTATATACATCATGCACATAAATACACTTCACACTTCTGGATTCTGAGGGAAAGTATCTTCTATGTGATGCCATTATCAACTATATTAGACAAAGCAGAAGTACAATAACCGACATCTGAAAATAATGTACAATGAAAATATCACCATTTTTGCATTTTAACAATTCCCCATTCTAAATGTAATTATTCTAATAACGGACAGCTACATGGGAAGTTCAATTACAAAAATACTGTGTGTCTGCTCTTTGTTAAAACACCAATAATCATTCTGAAAAGACTCCAATAACTCCAATATTCGTTTCCAAAAAAACGTAATAATTCTGAAGCGAACCTCCATGTTGGATAGTGTTTACACAACATTTTCTTCCATTTCAAGAGATCCAATTTGTTGCACACATTAGCTCAGATTATTGGGAATATGCATGGGACAATAATCTTTACAAAAACTAAGGCATCAATAATTAGATACTTTGACAATGCTTTGGAAAAGTCAACAAAAATTGTTCCACGTGACGCAAAATAATGCACACTGATGACGGTATTCATCTGCCTTTCCACATAAGTCTCCAGGATAGAATGGAAAACATAAAATACAAATAGAAACATGTTGGTTTCATTATCAATTAATTATCATTTGAATATCTCTTGAATGTCTTTTCACCCAGAAAAACAATAAAACTCATAATTCTATACTTTTCACATTCACCTTATGTGAAAAATATGCATATGAACTTTAAGAAACTGTCCAAATGTAAACATGATTGATGTCAGAGCACAGCTATGCTTGCTGGGGAGCAGTGTAATTACAGGACATGCCACAGTCTTGTTCTTCACATTACTCGGTTTACAGTGCTTCAGGCCTCCTCCAACAACAAATGTTGAACACAAATTAAACAAGGTGAACAACCTTTCTCCTTCCCAGTGAATTTGTGTAAACAACAAAAAGAAACCCAAAGTTTATCGATATTAATATCAGCAGGGAAGAAAGCCTCTGTCATGTCATTCACAAAATAGTTTCACATACAATGATGCATATTGTATAAATGTCATTCTATTTGTTTGTTTGTTTGTTTGTTGTTTGTACTGTAATGGTTAAACACATCTATATATCACCTGTATGGACCAGCTTGTGTTTCTTGAGGGATGAACATTCTGTGAACTTTCTCACACAGCCTTCATAGTCACATGCATATGGACGTTCACCTGTAAGAAATATCTTGTTAATAAGCAAATAATAAGCAACAATAGAAAACAGACAAAGTATTTTGGAGAGAGTGAGCATATGGAATAAATGCTGTTATCTACCAGCAATGTAACATGATAATTTGAATGCCAGATACTAACCAAGGGTGGATACAATGAATAAAGATCCCTTTAACTGAAACAGTTCTTGAAAATTAAACATTCAAAATAAAATAATTTTCTGTGACATTGACCACCCAAATCCTCACTGACACAAACACGCCCTGGCTACCTGGGAGCTGCTCTACTGTGAGAACATGGCAAACAAACCAGTATATATCCTCAATTATCCAGCGTATCATATCTCCATTCATTTTGAGTCCAGTTGGAATTACATGACACAAAAAATAGCCATCCAATCATATAACACCATATTGGATAAAGTGAGTGAGTTCTCTGAGTTAGGTGTAACCCCGCTTTGAACAGTATTCCAGTTATATCATAGCATATCAGCTTGATATCGGAGGCAAGCCTGAAGTGATACAGGTCTGGGGCGTTTACCACTTTGGTGAAACCCATGAGCACAGGTATGGTGCTGACAAACCTAGAAACATAATTGGGGCAAACCAGGATTCGAACCCAGGATCATAAGGATGCAACTCTGCACAGCGAATTGCAGCACCTAAGATGTCATGAAACTCAAACCAATGAAAAACATTTAACAAATAAACTGATATGTAACTTTACTGTAGGCTGTAAGGACCCATACAAACTTGAAACTATGGGCCCGACAGGAGATCTACATGCCACGGGCCAATCTGCAGGTGTTTTTTTCAAACACTGGTCCAGAGTAAACCTTAAAATCCCCAACCCCCTACTATATTCCCCAGTATTATTGAATAGTAGGGCTGCAACGATACAGGAAGGTTACGATACGATACGCATCTCGATATTCTGGTCACGATGCGATACGTATCTCGATACGCAATGATAAAAAAAAAACAAGACTTAAAGCATGTCAAGATTGAACCTTTTATGATTTTGGAACAGTCAAAATTATTTTATAAGAACAAGACTACTGAAGTTGTCCAGCTTCAAAGTGGAACTTTCTCTAACTTTCCTTCAAAACAATTCAAAGTTCAAACACCACCAGTGATACAACTTCAAAGAATTTTGATGCAATGGTCGAGGAAATTGTATCTGAAATTATTGTTTTATCAGGAATAATATATTCCAATATCGTGTTACCTTAGTTGCAGCTTTTACTTTATAAATGTTTAAAATTATAAGAACCACAAGTGTAGCATTTTGGTACTGGTGATTGCTGGATATTTTTACGTATTGAACAATTTGACCAGTCACCGTAGGGACTTCTTGCGCTACATGTATTTCGATTGTGAAAACGTTATGTTGACACATATTAGCCAAATTGCCACAAATATGACTTTTAACGAGTCAAAGTATGGCATTTTTAATATAATATGTATCCATTCTCTAGCAACTAAAGTTCGTTTCAATGCATCAAAAGCGGTAATCTGACCGTGGTTGCTGTATCTCTTCACGCACGATTTCACATAACTTAATGAAAACAATATTAAAGAAATTTTGAATAAAATTAATAAAATATATTACAAACACAAGTCCAGATATACAATGAACACGTTTTAATAACAAGATAGTATAATAATGGTATTGAATTGCGTACTTTAGTTCAGATTTGCTGACTGGTATTTCCGGTGTTATGTGCTTGCGGTGATCAGCTGATAATATTTTATGAGATGGGGAAAAACATCTGTCGGGTGTAAAACCTCAGCTTATTAAAAATGTAAGTACGTTTTTGAGAGCCATGCGTTACCGCGCTGTAACCAAGTTAGCGGTTTATTGAAAGGTACAATAGCTTGTACTTGAGATTTGCGTTCCATATTGTGGCATATCGATAAATGGGCCCACGTTTATCGTATATCGTTTGGTGGGTCAAGTATCGCGATGCATCGGAATATCGGTGTATCGTTTCACCCTTATTGAATAGATAACTTACCTGAGTGTATACGTTCGTGGTTTTTGAGATTCCCTGCAGTGGTGAAGGATTTGTTACATTCAGTGCAGACAAATGGCTTCTCTCCCGTATGGGTGCGCATATGAACTTTCAGCCGCTGAGCAGTAAAGAACCTTTTGCCACAGCCTTCCAACTCACACTCATACTGGCGATTGTCCCTGGAAACAGTAAAATAATTATACAACAGGAATAGGATATAACACCTTGAGCTAGGTTTAACTGTGATTCCAACTATATTTCTATGTCATTGTGTGCCACGCAAATGTTGAAGTGTATTCAATGAATGTTCCAGTCTATCATTAGGTACTGATCCTATTTTCACAATGCGTTCAAATGCAGAGAAGGCTTACGTGTGGGTGAGTTGATGATACTTGAAGTGGGCTGGTCGAGCAAACTTGCGCCCACACTGGTCAAATGGACACTGTAGAGCTTTGCTACTCACAGAGTGACCCTGTGCTGTCTGATGAAACTTGCGGAAACCTGCAGAGGCAAATGTCTTTCCACATCCTTCGGTCTCACACATGTACACCTTTCCTCCTGAAAATACATGTTCAGTTTTACTGATCAGGAATAAGCATAAATATTTTCATTACGCATTTGGAAAATAACTTACAAATAATTTAATAGGTACTAAAGAGAGAGTGTGTTACTTACTTCAAGCATTTTTCCAGCTATATCATCTATAGCCTGTATATAATTGAAAAATCTACTTTAACTTGTTTATTTATATACTTATCCTATCTCACACTGTGGCTTTCTTCCTTCTTTTTTCACTCCTTGTGTGAAAACATCCTAAAACAAAGTTTCCAGCTTCCAAAACTGTTTTGGCCGAATACTTAATCACGTGGTGTAAACCAGTAGATGAAAGAGGCAAAGCATGGCCGTCTGGGGAAGCTTCGGGTTGCATAGTTGTAGTGTCAAGTCAATCCTGATGTCAATTTAGAGGAGACACATATCGATAGTAATCTGGCATCGATAGGTAGTCTGAGTAATGATGGTAACGATAGTTCCCACAATGATCAGGACAGGCAAACGGGTAGTGCCACATGTGTTGATATCGCTGTGACGGAGGTGTGTATCAATCCCAATTGTGATCTCTGTCATATGTATAGCTCCTAGATGAATGTCTTTGGGAGTGTCGTTGAAGTCAGATGATTGCTATTGCTGGATGACAATGACCATCTGGAGAACTGGAGCGACCGCGTTTGTAGGTGTAGGATTGATCTGTAGAGTGACCACGATCAGTAAATTCGGAATAATAAATAGCCGCGGTCGATAGAACCAGTGGAACCTCAAGGAGGTAGAATGTGGCTGGACAACATCTTCAGTTAGACCACTTTCAGCTGATGGTCGTGGAATGCCAGATGCGTCAGACGTCGAAGTGGTACTGTTGATGGGCCTTTATCAGTAACTGCCAGAACCGTATATGATAGAGATTTCGCAGGAGATAGGGGAGCGCTAGAAACAGTCGACAGTAAAGATTTGGCGGGAATCTTGTCATTGAAGAAAGCTGTCCGAGACTGGCTCTTGGTGGACTAGAGAATAGCTTTGGTAGTAACACGCTTATGCTTCTTGGTTGCAGATGGCCCATGTTCAACATCCCATGATTTGGATCTCCAATCAACAGTATGCTTCTGGCATTTATGCAGGTAATTTAGTAAAGGCCATGTCTGATAGGTGAGAACATTCTGAACATCGGATACCAGGTTTACAAACAGTCACAGCATAACGCATGTGGATCACAAGGTGAAAATATGAGATGACACTTCTTGCAGGCCGGATGATAATTCTGTTTTTTCCCCATGACGTTAGGGAGAAGTAATATGTGAACTCACTATCAGAAGCAATAGAAATACAAAAACTTGTATTTTCTACTTCATAACCCGTCTCCACACTGCGGAAAAGAGAAAGAATGATGTGGCATATGGTGTCAGGTGATCAAACCGCTTAGGTCATGGTATACGGGACTGTAGTGCGTGACCCATTTGTTTGGGTGACCACTAGAGTGATGCAAGGGGAGTTCAGGCAAAATGGTTTTTGAAGCTGGAAACTTTGTCTTGAGATGTTTCCACACACGGATCAAAAGAGGAAGGAAGAAAGGCATAGTGTGAGATAGGATAAGTTATAAAATTTAGGTTTTACCAGGCAAACAAGTGGTTGACAGTATCAGCAATGATCCACGCTGTCCACACAACCAGCCCAAGCATTTATAAACCTACTGCCACTTTTACCATTTGTACCGTAAGTACCTTGGTATCTAAATGTAGTAACCTTGTGAGAGGTGCTTCTTTCAAGTGAGACCTCCTGAGAGGTTTACATTTGAATTGTAAGACCTGCTTGGAGTTTTTACATCAGAACATGGGGTGCTGAAGACCAATTCTAACCCAGATCTACATGAAAATTCAATGACATGAATCAGACCTGCAACCTCACATATCATATTTACTATTGTAACCCACTGTTTTCCAACTGAGCCACAGGGTAAGTGATGAAAGGGTGTTCAATCTTACATCATGACTTCAGTTGACTGCAGGCTGCACATGGTCTTTCTCTCTCGCTGTCATCAAATTTATTGTTTAAAGTAGTATTTCACTATAAGGTATCCCAATGTTTTCTTATTATTTCTGGTATTTCTTGCATTTAGACTGATCATAACTTAGTTCAAACACTCCTCCTCGGCTTTGACTGAAAATGTAAAACCAATGTCTTTTCCGTTGCTCAAGATTTTACAGTTTCAATCAAAACTCCAGAGTCATGTTTTCATTATAACTTAGACGCTGACATTGATTGGCTTAATAGATTATGATGTGATCTTCTATGAAGGGTTTGTCAGTGGAGGTATCCTATGTGAGTAACAGATTTGATACGAATGAGACCATCTTGTAGTGCTTGTATAGTGGACCTATCCTTGCATCCTAAACAGGGAGCAGCAATTACAAACAATATCACTGCATGATTTCTAACTAAAATAATTGTTTGAACTCCTTACCTGAGGCTTTAGATTTTCCCTGACGATGACCTGTTTGTTCTTCATCTTCACATGAGCTCTGAAGACTGGTAAAAGTATCCCCCTCATCCTTGACCTTTGACTGTAGAGCCATCTCTTCCTCTCCAAGTTGCTGAGCAATATGCTCCTGAGTCTGTGCAATGAGATTAGCCTGAGCCATTGCCTGGATGTTCTGCAAGTCACCAGATAGACGCAGAAATGCTGGGGATGAGTTTTCCAGCATAACATTTGCTTCCATAGCCCCCTTGCCATGGTTATTTGACAAGACAAGGACTGGCGTGATGGTGCTGAGGACCTTCTGCTGGTTGGCACTGCTGCTCAGGTACACGACAGGCTGGCTGTTGTCCACGGACGTTGTCTGGTGTCCTGTTGCGCTACCAAGATACACATACGATGCCTGTGGTAAGATAGACTGTGCAGTGTTAAGAGAGGCAGTTGTCTGGGGATGAAGAGCATTGACTGTTGCAGTAACTGTCAGAACATCCATCTTGCCAGGTGCTAGTTCCTCTCCTGATGGAGAGTCTACTGTCTCATCCATGTCACTTTACACATGCAGTTAGTCAACTACATTCACAATACATCTTTGTCCCATGGTTCATCTTGTGACCTGGTTCCACAGTGTGGCATTAGGTTACATCAACAAGCTTCCAGTTATGCAAAATCCTCTTGCTGACTTCTTTTCTTCTTGTATAGCTGTAACACATCGTTTTCAACCTCGCATTCATTAATCCACATCTGAAACAAGATATACATTTATCAATGTTTTGTAAAACTGTTTTTACTATTACCATGATTATTCTCTAAGTAAGTTGTGTGCATAAATAAAGAAACAACAGATATTCAAAATATCAACAAGAACACCTAGAAGAAATTGTGTTCTCTTATTAAAAAGACCACTTTTTAGATCCTGTGAGCTTCAAGGGTTTGATATTTTGAAAACTGGTGTGGAAAAGAGATTATGAATTTCATTTGAACATAAAGTTTAAATAGTTTTGTAGAACAGGGTCTGTAGTACAACTAGTTCAACTATTTGCTAACTAATGTTTTTGTACTTAGGTTTGTTTGTTTGTTTGTTTGTTTATTGTTTAATGCCACACTCAGCAATATTCCAGCTATATGACGACAGTCTGTAAGTAATCAAGTCTGGACCAGACAATCCAGAGATTGACAACATGAGGATCGATCCACGCAATTGTGATCGATGACATGCATCAACCATGTCAGCGAGCCTGACCACCACGACATCATAGTCGCCTTTTACGGCAAACATGGGTTGCTGAAGGCCTATTCTACACCGGATTGTACTTAGGTAGATAGATGTATGAAATTGACAAGAAATACAAATGTTCTAGAAACCAGACCTACATAAGCTTACATGTTCTACCCTGTTGTGTACTATCTACATGTCACATAACCAGCCAAAAGAAGAACAAATAGTCAGGAAAGTCACCTGAACTTTGGATGGAAATGATATGAGCAAATATGAAAAAGTGAGTATGGTTTTACATCACTTTTAGAAATATTCCAGCAATATCTCAGCAGGGTACATCAGAAAAAGGCTTCACACATTGTAATTTGTACCCATGAGGGGAATCGGGGAATCGAACCCGGGTCTTCGGCTTCATGAGTGAATGCTTTAACCACTAGGCTACCCTACCGAACAAAACGTGAAAAAGCCAAAATGGGATCATCTATGCACAGTTCAAAATTCATAGGTCTATTCAAGTTCTTAATTTAAAAAGGCTACATTGGTGTCTGTTTGGGATGCTGGACTGATGCCAAAAGGACAATTTGAATCAGGGAAATGCTTTTCAGATCTCCCAAATGTTTGGCTCCAATGCTGTTGTAGGTTCTGAGAAGACGTCTATTTTATTAAATCCAATTAATTGCCACAGTTGCCATATTGTAAGGATTTACAATTACAGGAGACATTAATGGCCTTGATGTCTTTGTAAAGTTTTAAGTATTTGTTTGTCTGTTTGTTCGCTGACAAACACTGCACTCAGCAATATTCCAGCTATATGATAGCGGCCTGTCCAATAATCAAGTCTGGACCAAAACAGTGATTGACATGAACATCCTACAATCAACCAAGTCACAGAGACTGACAACCCAATCCATTTAGTCTTCTCTCAACACAAGCGTAGGTTATTGAGGACCTTTTCTGAGTCAGAAACCTAAGTTTCCAAGTTCCATTTCATCAAAGTAGACACAAATTTATGGATAACAACTTCTTTATTTACTATAATAGCGCTGTTTCTGATCCTTATACCCTCATCAAGCAAGACTTGAATAATAAACATTGTACAGAATACATATGGTAGGTGGAGGAATAGCAGTGACAACAATTGCATACATGAGTAGAGGGGCGGTCAGGTAGCCTAGTCGTTAAAGCGTTCGCTCGTCACGCTGAAAACCTGGGTTCGATTCTCGACATGAATACATAGTGTGAAGCCCATTTCTGGTGTCCCCTGCCGTGATACTGCTGGAATATTGCTAAAAGCAGTGAAAAACCATACTCAATCACTAACATGAGTAGACTAAATAGTAGAAGGATAATATTGTAACAACATGGGGACAGAAAACACATGATGGGGAAGCCAATTAAACAGGATTAAGTATACATAGGTGGGAGGATTACTGCTTAATGAGTTCATAGCATAAAACAGATGTATATTTACAATACCATAATTCCGTTGTTATTCTTTTAACCAGCTCATGTTAATCTCTCTCATGCATGGACCACATACGTGGTCTAGTGGTAGAGCGTCCGCCCGGAGAGCGGAAGGTCTGGGGTTTGATCCTCGGCCGCGTCATACTAAAAGAAGTTAAAAGATGGTACTTGTTGTTACCCTGTCTGGCGCTTGGCATTAAGGGGTTAAAACAAGGACTGGTCGGCTCAGAGTCAGTATACTGTGTCTGAGTGGGGTATTCATGTTAAACTGCGGCATGGTATCTCAGTGTGCTAGCACTATAAATTGCCATCAGTCCGGACTAGTACAAGCAGGCAGGCAGACAGACACACACACACACACGTTGCTATATAAGTGTAATAATCTTGGATGCGACGTTAAACCCCATTTCACCTCAGCTCTCTCATGTATGTAATTGTTGTAACTTTTAATCATCCACCTACCATAAATATTCTGTACCATGTTCATGTTTTAGTCTTGCTTGACAACAGTACAAGGATCTACACATAAACATCACTATTACAGTAAAATAAAGAATTTGCTATCCATAAATTGTGTCACCCATCAATTTCTAAGAAATGCCTATCAAACATCTATTTCATCACTGATGAAAATATGGATGGACCCATAAGCATTGTTATTTTACAAATGTGGAAACTTCAACAGGCAACACTGAATCAGCATGACTCTACAAAATTACATCCACAACATGACTTTTACATCAGGCATCATTAGTCATAATTATTTCAAGTACCAATGAAACCATCAAATAATCCCCTATAATAACACTCCATATCCTATGGCAACCAATATATTATGTAAATCAGAACTATTAGATACTTTATGAGATAATAACATATACTGAACCACATAATTAATCCAGAATTCATTTGAACAACTGTTGATACAAATCCAGGTTTAGAACAACTAATAGCCCATTTGGGAGAATATGGCTATATTCTTAATTCCTAAACACCACAAAATTGCTGACCATACTACATATATGTAGATTACAGTGAGTGAGATAACAATTATGAGATAAACCTTGACTGCATTTTAAATGTATAACTATAAAGGCACATGTGTACATGCCACTGCTCACATAAACACTTCACCTTTGAACTTAAACGACAAATATATATGCATGTTTTATAGACCTGTTTGAAGTTAGGAACTGTCAGTTACTTTCAATGTATTTAATACTGTATTCATTACAAAGCCAAATTTAAAATACTAACTCAAAAATATTTACATACACCAAAGACTACATAGATATATGTATATACGTCTTTGAATACACCTATAAACATAGACGGTGCCTATGAGGTTGTTTATTCTTCCACAAATTGAATACCACAAATGGCTCAATATCAGCTGTTTGGTAAGCATTTGTAAGATATCAATCATACCGCTAAACACGTTTTTTTCTGATTAGATCTACATGACTTCTGCTGTTTACCTATAGTTAATAGTTCTTATGAATGATCTGCTTCCAACTGCATTAAACCGGCTAGAAACCATCATTCGTGGGTTGTTTCGTGAAACACTGACATTGCTCTATTGAAGGTCGGTGGAATTTTCCATCAGACTTCGTTAACATTTTTAACCATCAATGGCAAAATGACGACATAAACCCTCAAACAACAAGAAATGATAGCGCCTAAAATGAAATTTAGACCGACGTTTGAACCATTTCGTCGAAACAGACTATCCTTTTTTCCACACGATATGTGTTATCAAACAAAACAGTTTTGACCACTGATAATCAACGCGGAAATAAATGAAATATTATGGGTTGTAATCTTACTCTTCGCACTTTCCATCCTACCTTCATTGCGTAAGAATACAGTTACCAGTCAATGAAAAGTACCAAATCAGTTTTGCAGCTACCGTGGAAACATATAGAGAGTTTTAAATTGTTAGAATCATGATAATGTGGATACCATGTAACGTTTTATCCTCTTAATACAAATACTCATGCAGAACTATTTAAAAATTGGGTCATCTTCTGAAAGAAGTTCCAATCACTTCCTACACATCGATGGCGTTTGTTAAAACGATACCGATTGGCCAAAGGAACAAAATTTTCCCAAAACACATGTGAATGTTGCATATATTTATGAATGTAAACAATCATATCTGTACTTGGAAATACAAATTTGTCAACATTAGAGTGGTTGCGTACTTATTGTGTTACCAGTCGCAAACTAAACTGTCAATGGAACCGTTTTGATATTTTGTTGACGACATCATGAAACAACCAATCAGAATACACCTTACTTTCTTTCAGAATGACGGAATTACCCGAAGAATTAATACCTATATCATGTTATTCTTTTCAGAGTTTGATTTCAAATAGAAATGTGCATTTGACAATATGTCTACACGAGAACATATATTATATCAGTTATATCAATATTGTTTATGAAATGTAATAGCTCAACCTATACGGAAAGACACGAGTAAAAGCGGATATGGTGAACATCTACCAGTTTCAACCGGTTTACAACTTTGGGAGTTTTCACAGCACAGAAGACTGGTACGGGTTCGACAAACTATTAAGGTATATACCACGAATGATGTAGGTGAAGGACTTTGGTTTGGGGTTAATGTGCATGCTAAAAGGTAAGAGTAACGTTGTGAAAATTGTCTACACGCCGGCATGGAGGCCGCCATTTTAAAACATGTAAACAACGGAAGTGGGATTCAAAGTCATAGGCAACCACGATTGTATGTCATGTGATCTCGGTGCATTACGCGCCCTTTTTGTATGGTGATTGCTTACCATGGAGAATGTAGTTACTTCTTAACATGAATGTGTAAATTATTTAGAGAGCAACAGCAAAAAATAACCTTGCGATTGATAAATGTAATAGCCTTTGTCCGCTAATGTGCGTGATGTTGAAAAGTCAGCTGTTTCTACGAATGCTTTTCGACTCGTGTTCATTGTTAGATAGTGTGGGTTTTTTGTCGGTTAAACATCAAGACACTGTCAAGTCACATCTCAATAAATACAAATTTACGAGGTGTTAAGTCTAGAATGTTATGGTAGTAGCCTGACATTGCTGCGAACTGTGGGCTGACACTGAGCAGTGTCAGAAATTGTTGTTCCTTTCCACACGTGTTTGGAACGCAAAGAAGATTAGGCCCAATATGACAATTTGACAGGGTATGTTGGACCATTAGGTGGTCATTAGTTATTGTTTTACAGAAAGATCTGTATCCATACCTGCTGTATGGCAATTATTATCAAGATTGTGCTAACTAGTGATCAATAGCTTTAGAAAATATCAATGAGTCTTCAGCTGAGCAAGGCTTGTATTTTCATGATGTACCTGTAGAAGTTAACCCGAAATGTTTTGCTAACTCAAATAGCAATAACATGAAGACCTGAATCTACTCGTAGTGTGTATACCGTAACATTAGCAAAAATTACAGTCATCTTGTAGACAATTCATTATTCACAAGTCACACACAGCATCTTTATCAACGAACCACATTCCATAGGAAGGGATTATCAGCACAAATTGCAAGCAAAATTATAATGACGTTGCAGTATCCATCAAACCCTACATCTATTTTTCCAGTCATGTTACTGTTCTAATGTTAGGCAAATGAATAAGAGGTTGGTTGGACTACCAACATTGAATACAATTCCAAATTGGAATGATTTATCATGTTCATAAAGTGCTAAGTTTGCTAACAAGGTGTTACTCTTTTTGCAGGTTGATTCACCTTTTCCCGCCGTAGTGGGTAGCCCAGATTTAGTGAGAGTCGATGTAACCAAGCCTGTCCAGATGGTCATGAGCACCTTGACTGAACAGGCAGCCAAGTTGCTCGACTTCAATCAGAAGCTCGACATACAGCTGCTTGACAATGTTGTTGCCTGCATGTATGCAGGGGATGGTCCCCAGGTAGATATGATTTCCTGTTGAATTGTTTTGTAGTTTTGAATCCAAGCCTTTCAGCCAAGGACAGATAATGTTTCAAAGGTATCATTGATCCTGGGTTGTGGAAACATACACTTGTCCGTTCACAGGTGAACCTGTCAAAATCTGCAGTCAGTAGTTGAAGGCTACTGCTCACAAATTTTACAGACATGTGTGTCATATGTTTTGATATTTCATTTTAGTTTCCAGAGTATTTACTCACCAAATGGTTTCCAGTGTATTATATTCTAATACGAGAAGTATGCTTTACTCAACGCAACCATACATTCGTTTCTGTGGTGACATAACCATCTTCATCTCTCTTTTTACCATCTCACCTGTGAAGATCCGAGTCAGAGGCTCGCTGACTTGGTTGAAGCATGTCATCAGATCCCAATTGCATAGATTAATGCTCATGATGTCAATCACTGGATTGTCTGGTCCAGACTCGATTATTTACAGGCCACCGTCATGTAGCTGGAATATTGCTGAATGTGGCGTTAAACAGCAAACATCACCAACTTAGCACAGAATTTCTCTTGCTTAAAAGGGTGGCGTATATAGTTATACCAAGGAATTCAGCCTGTCATGCCGAGGACATTTTTCTGTTTGACTTATAACTCAAGAACTACCATATAGATTCTTTTCAAACTTGAACACTTTTTATAACTATAGGAGAGATGCAGTGCAAAATTTGATTTCAACTTTTGGATTTTCTATAAAAAAATACAGCTTTTTTCATTCACTTCCTTAAACATTTGTGTGACCTATAATTTTAAAACTACTGCATGGATTCTTTTCAATTCAAATTCAGTGAACAGTTTCCTTACTAATGGAAGAGATGGAGTGCCAAGTTTGATTTTGATACGTGTATTTTCTGGTGAGAAAAAAATCATGTTATGAACTTAGAATGTATTTGACTTCAACATTTGTACCCTATTTTCTTCTGAAGCAACAGCAGATGGCACAGAAGGTTCTTACAGAGCTGAAAGAGCATCCAGATGCCTGGACAAGGGTAGACACAATATTGGAGTTTTCCAGTAACCAACAGACCAAATACTATGCTCTTCAGATCCTGGAGAATGTTATCAAAACCAGATGGAAGGTCCTACCTCGTCCACAATGTGAAGGTTTGTAAATTGTTTTGTACTTGATTCTGCATGGAATTCTTTTCACACTGTAAAAAGTAATTAAATGGTGTTTTTGGTATTTTTGTTCATGTTGGTGAGATTGTTCGCTCCTTGTTAGTAAGTTCTCATTCCCTTTTCAGGCATCAAGAAATATATCGTTGGACTTATCATTAAGACTTCATCAGAGAGTTCATCTTTGGAGAGGGAAAAGGTTTACCTTGGAAAACTTAACATGATTCTAGTCCAGGTAATGGTTTACAAGAATATAATTTGCTGCTTAGGGCAGTTTAATTCCAATTTCAATAAAATGAATTTTTTTCCCTCGGATACAACTACCTCTGCATGAAGAGCTGACAGAGCTCACATGGCATATCAGGTAAACCCTGGAAATTTGATTCAGTTTTCTAGATCTATTAGGCTTAATTCTTTTACTTCCTTTTTCCGAAATAAAAATCTGAACAAAAGAAAACCTACACAGAACATAAATATACCTTAGTACACACTGTTTCAGGAGTAGATGCCATGGTGACCTGAAACAACAGGGTGTATAATATAAAATTCAATATTCAATTTCTAATTGGAACTGCCTGTTTATGTACATTGCAATATGCGGGTACCAAATTTTCTGTTTATGTTTGTTCACTTGTGTCAAGAATTTAGAAGTCTTGACACTGATTGCAATGGAGGGTTTTTGTCAGATCTTCATGGAGAGGTGCATCAGAGTAAAAGAACCTTCTTTTTTTACATCAGATTGGTTTTAATTCATATTTTCTTGCATTAAATGCATGGTTTAGCAGATGCTTTTAGTGGTGGGTCACTTGTCATTCAAATGAAGAGGATTAAGCTAATATCTGTGTATTTAGATTTCCCATCATCACACTACTTGGGGACGTCCACTCTCATCTACAGGGTTACCAAAACAAATTTATGCACTAGAATTTAGAGGTGTAACAAGCTGACTCCTTCAGAAACATAGTAGACAAGCCCCTGTAAGAATATATATATTATATGCAATGACCAAATATAACACATCATTGTGTAGTCAACAAGCAATATTCTTTTACTTATGAGACTTCTGTACTGCAACAGTAGATGAACAATATGTCAGTTTAACCAAGTTTTACTGAAAGTTCTGTAGCATCCATGAGTTCCAAACGGGATTTCACGCCTCTCTTTACATTTATCTAGTTCCTCAGTGTATATGGCCTGGACGGCAGTTGTTAGGCCCTGGATGCGCTCAGAGACTGTTCGGGAATCTTGATGTGGTCTGGTCTACCGCTGGGTGGTTGTGTGTAGTCAGGTTTCTAACAAATTTGACAACTGTTGTACATTTACCAGACAACCTGTATCTACACATCTCCAGTTGACACATGCCAGTCTCGTACTATTTAATCTGTATCTAAAGCCATTTAGAATGTCCTGTCTTTCTCTTCATTGGGCTGTGCATGCTCCCAAATTGTGAATAGATAGAGCACTTCTTTGTCTTCAGTTACAGTAATAACGACACATCTAAACAAATGCCAGCCATACTTAACACATTTTTCATGTCTCAAAGTGTTCCTATCAAGATCAGTGTTAGAAATTGGCACTAGTCCTGTGGTCCTTGCCAAACTGCCAAATGGTTAAGGTATCATAAGGACTCGTAGAAATTTTCCATTTTTAAGGGTTTTGCTATATGTTATCATCATAAGGACTAGTGGACTAACAATGTTCGTTTCTACCGCTGA